CTAACAGAATATGCAAACTTTTCTCCAGATTACTTTGTTAAAGTTAAATACCTTACTGCAGTTATAAGATAATAAAGCAAGTATCTCATTATAATAATTATGTTAAAATTGAAAATGCAATGATATTATTTGTATTCTTTCTTTATTGCAGAGTAAGTTTCGAATAAAAGATTCATTTTTTCGTCACTTGTAGCCTCCTTGTTGTTTTTAATGAAAAAAACAACTGGAGACTTTCTCCACTTCAAAATATAGCCACCAGCAGTTGTTTGTTTCATATTTACTATCTTGCTGGCTTTTTCGATAGTTAATCCCCTTATGAAGTAGAGATAAAGAAGCTTTTTTATATCTTTATCCGTAGGCTTTTGATATTGCCCTCTACTTTTTTTGGGGGTTTTGTCTGTTGTTGACGGGGCAGAACTTTTTGGATCTTCTGGCATTTCAGGCTCTTCAAGCTCTTCCATGATTTTTTCAAAGGCACTGTTATATTCTTCAAGTTTTTCGTGTAACATTGTAGGGTTTTCTGATAATAAAAGGTGAAAAAATAAAGAAATAGGAAGATATGTTAAAGTGACATATTTTATATAAATATAGTTATATCTAGCACATAGCAGTTATAATTAAATAGTAATTACTTAAGATGCAAGATAAAAATCAGAACACAAGTTGAAGCAGCAAGAATAGATGTAAAGAAGATTGAGTTGTTGTTAAATAGTATTAGTCATTATATTTTCAGCTTTTTATATCAAAAAATAATATTCCAAGGTCCACTAAATAAAGTAGTACAAATTGAACTCAAGGAGATAAAAAATAAATAGGACAATATATTACCCGCAGCCATAAATTTATTATAAACATTCTTTTTTAAAAGAGATATCATAATTCTCTCTCTTTCCATTTGGTGTTTATATACCAAAACTGTTTATTTCTCTTCTTAAATCAGCAATAAATCTCATTCTCATGCTCACTTCAACAACTAAATATTACTCTGACAATGAAAACACTGCCTAAAGCTCTACACCTCATGGATTTTTTTATTATTTCCAGATCACATTATGTTTCTGTATGTAAATAAAGCCTATACCTCGGAGTCATTGATATTAATCTCTAAATAATCTATAGTATTTTGAACAAAAGCTATAAATCTGAAAAGAAAACGTGACGATTCAACCCTCCACCTACAAAGAAACTACAAGATCAAACATCTACCTGTACGATAGGAACCAGTCTACACATATTCATAATGCTTTTAAGTGCATTTCACCGACTATACTTTTTCGAAATCCAACAGTAGAATTCACTCTACCGACCACACAAAAACTTGCCAATTTTTATCTCAAATATCCAGTAATCTGATTGACTACCACAGCAATTGTATTTCTTATGAACCTGGTCCTACACAAGCATCTAATACCATTACAAAAAAGAATCCAAAAATGCTATATTTATTCAGCACCTGCTCCAACCATTTTACAATGTCAGAATCCTGATCTTCTTAATATCAAACTCAACAACTCTTTGTAATCTGCACTCGAAACAAGTAAATGTCCAACAATCTGTTAAACAACTGAAAGCGGTCCAAGAATTATGCTTTGCTCACAATACTACCCGATCTCAATTTTGGAAACCCTCATGATACAAAATACCAAAAAAAACCCAAATATTACACACACAAAAACAGTAACAAAAAATAGCACAAGCTCATGACAAAAAAAAGAAATAAAAAAAGAGATGAAAAAAAAAGAGATGAAAAAATAAAAAAAATAAAAAAAATAAAAAAAAGAAATAAAAAAAAAAATAAAAAATAAAAAAAAAATAAAAAAAAGAAATAAAAAAAAAGAAAAAAAAAGAAATAAAAAAAAAAGAAATAAAAAAAAAAGAAATAAAAAAAAAGAAATAAAAAAAATAGAAATAAAAAAAAAAGAAATAAAAAAAAAGAAATAAAAAAAATAGAAATAAAAAAAAGAAAAAAAAAGAGAAATAAAAAAAAGAAAAATGTAATAGCAATTTTAAAAATAATTCTCCAAATAGTATAACTAGCATTTTTATTCATAAATTTTTATAATATACATAACCATTTTTTCGCAAATAATTTCTGAAAAACTGAAAGTCTCAATAACTGAAAATAAAATGATATCTTACTGCAAGAAATTTCTGAAAAACTGAAAAACTGAAAAACTGAAAGTCTCAATAACTGAAAAAATGAAAGTCTCAATAACTGAAAAACTGAAAATCTTAATAACTGAAAATAAAATGGTATCTAACCGCAGAAATTTCTGAAAAACTGAAAATCTCAATAACTGAATTTCGAGCTTTTCCTTGGCTCTATACAAAAAAAAACTTTCTTTTTTTTTATTTTTTTTTTTATTTTATTTTTTATTTTTTTTTTGGTTGGGCAAACCCATGAGGAGAAATCCCACCCCTTCCTTCGAGACAGAGGACAGGACACCATAAAGGCTCTGGTAGCACTGTAAATCGGCTAATAAAATAAATGTTCTTAAAAGTGTGAAGAAGCTTAATATGTAAACATTCATTATTCTTCAACACGTTCTTTATCCAAATATATTAAGACAACAGGACAAGACTATACCTTGGTAGAAACGTTTAAGTTATTAAAATATATTTTTTTTTGGTATATATACCCCAGTGTCTTAATAAAAGTTTCTCAGTTATCTTTCTTCCTCGATTTTAACACCCTTTTTATTTTCAAAAAAAAATGCCTACTTCCAACAACTCCCTCGAATTTGTTATGGACAAGCACTGTGAAATGGTCAGTCACAGCGGTTCTGCAGACCAAACCCAGTTTTCTGGAATTGCTTTCGACCCCTTGTGCGATTTCAACCAAGAGATTGTCGACGAAATGCATGGAGAAGTTGTACTCCGATCTGTGACAGATGTCTTTGTCAACCATGCCGATATGGAATGGACCCGTACCTCGGCCGGAAACCCAGCAGTCACAAACCTCCTCAGTCTCAAAAGTTTCCTGCCAACCGAAGTCAACGAGGCCACAACCAAGACAATTGTTGCACAGAAGCCGAAGACGAATCTGCCGGAGAAGGTCGATCCTGATTCTGTTCCCACTGCAGAAAGCATAGGTCGAGGTTCGTACCGAAAGTACAACCAAAACCAGGTGAACAAGCTCTTCTCCTTGGTTTTCTCGGAAAACCAGACTGCTGCTGCCGCTGCCAGGGAAACGGGGATCAATGTCCGGACTGCCCAGAACTATGTCAGGCTGGCCAGAGAGAAGATCCAGGCCGATTTTGATGCTGCCACAGTGGAGACTGATGAGTCCAATGGGCTGGAGACGATGGAGGTTGAGGAGGTTTCTGCGCCTAAAGAACGAAAACATGGCAACCAAAAGTTGTTCCAGGCGCACTCTGCTTTTTTTTTGAAGTTTTTCGAAAATAAACCAGATGCTACCTTGGAACAAGCAAGGATAGCTGTCATGGAAGAGTTCTCTGGGCTGCAGATTACCAAATCAGCAATCCAGAAGCACTTGGTGAAGAAGTGTGCCCTGACGATGAAGAAGTTGGAGAAGCTGCCTGAGAAGAGAGACGACGCCAACACAATTGAGATGAGACGAGACCGCATTTTGGAGTGGCAACAACTTGCGGATTTCAACTATCTGTCGAACTGTGTGTTCATCGATGAAGCAGGCTTCAACATGCACATCAAGAGAACTTTTGGCCGTTCCGTCAGTGGCACCCCAGCAAAGACAACTGTCCCGACGCAGAGAGGTGTGTCCATCACCATCCTTGGTGCAATGTGCGAGAGAGGGATCGTCAGCCTCTCGTTGAAGAAACCCACTGCAGTCGCAACCAAGAAGAAGAGAAAGTTGGACATCTACACCAACGTTGAGGTGAACGGTCGAATTGGCACCAGAACCCAGCACTACCTCGACTTTCTTAGTCATACAATGGACGTTCTGGACAGCCAGGGTATGCAAGGACGTTATCTCATCATGGATAACGCTCCTATCCATAAGGCCGATGAGGTGAAAGACTTTATTTCTTCCCGTGGGTACAAGTGTGCATATCTTCCTGTGTATTCACCTTTCCTGAATCCAATTGAGGAAATGTGGTCCAAGATCAAGTTTGGTGTCCGCAGAGAAGAGATTACAGAGTCAGACGGGCTCATCTTAAGGATTACAGAATCAGCTAAGACTGTCACCCTTTCGGACTGTTTGGGTTGGATTAACCATGCCATTTCATTCTTTCCTCGCTGTTTGAACAGAGAGCGAAAGCTTTAAGTATGTCTTTTATGTCTATTTAAGCTCTTTACACTCTATGTCTTTTTTTATTTTATTTTTATTTTTTACTACTTTATGTCCCTCTTTTTCTTATTTTTTTTTTACTACTTTATATCCCTCTTTTTCTTATTTTTTTTTTACCACTTTATGTCCCTCTTTTTTTATTTATTTTACTGCTTTATGCTTTTCTTTTTTTATTACTTTGTATTTCATTATATCTTACTTCTTATTATGTGTTCTATTTCTCTATCAACTAATTATGCCTAATAAAAATATCCATGTTTTATGCCAAAAAAATATCCATGTTTTATGCCAAAAAAATACGACGTTTACAAAAAAAAATACTACGGTTATATAAAAAAAATTCGACGTTTACAAAAAAAAATACGACGTTTACAAAAAAAAAGTACGACGTTTACAAAAAAAAATACTACGGTTATATAAAAAAAATACAACGTTTACAAAAAAAAATACTACGGTTATATAAAAAAAATTGTAAGGCGTAAGGATAAAAAAATTGAGTGCCATGTACCCTTCCGCCAATAGTAAAAGGGGGGGAGCAAATTCAGATGGCAATGGGAGCAAATTCAGTTGGCAATGGACGCAAATTCAATTTCTATGGAAGCCAATCAGATGTCAATGGGTTCTAATTAGATGGAAACGGATGCTAATTAGATGGAAATGGGCGCCAATTGAATGGATAAAACCAGTAGTTTTGTATTAACAGTGCATGAGAAAAAGCAACAATGGTAACTTACAGCACATCTGCCATTATGGGCGACTCATAATCACCAGTTTCTGACATATCAGAAGAAGAAAGCAAAGAATCACTTATGTCTCGCTGTATCTATAGCATAATAAAAGGAAACAATGTTAATTAAAGCTTACAATATATATATTTGTTAATTGATAAACTTACTTTGTTCTTCTCTGCCATTCTCCTCTTGTGCGTCTGGTTGTCACTCTTGAAGCTTTCCCAAAGAAGGCTTCTTGCACACCACATTCTTTTACATTGGTGGATGTGCAATCCACCATTCTTTGCCAACCTCTCCAAATGCATCATGCAGTATTCCCTGTTTTTCTCTGGAATATTCTTCTATTCTTTTGAGGCCGCAGGATAGTCCTTGTCAATGATATCATGCTTTACTGTATGGCCTAATGTTTTGAGATGCAGTCTTTTTACTGTCAAATCATGGTCTGAAAGAGGGACTAATGGGGGCAAAGGCTGCCCTTGTGGAACTTCTTTGCAGCGCGCCTTCCAGTCCTGCTCGTGAAGAATCTGAAGCAACAGATTGTATTTTTATGCTTCGTTTTTTCCTTTGAACTTGCCGCCAGTATTGATTACTCACTTACCGAGCTGATCAGGGTACTCTGTGAGCTGGGCTCTTTTCACAGACTTGGCAATGTACTCAAGAGCTACAAAAAATGTATGACAATATTAATAAAGTAAATAAACATCTAAGCACAGAATATATATGACTTACAACTCTGCTCAATAATGCTTTGTTGCATTGTAGTTAGATCTTCCGCACTGACTGCTGGCGCAAATTGATTGCTGAATTGCCTTTGAAGCTTGCGCAATGCTTGCTTGATTTCAGCAAGATCAACCTCAATCTTTTGAATTGAGTTGAGGAGAGTTGTGTTAATATCGGACATGTTTAAGTTTTTTTTAGCTATAAGCAGGGAGTTGAAAAGAAAAGGTGATAGTTTAGACAAATAGAATAAGAGCGATTTGAGTTTGAGAGAGGCAACAAGTTATTACAAGCAATTGACAGCTATTTATATGAAAAAGATACAGACAGATCTACAAACAAAACATATAAAAGAAGGGATGCTTATGCACTTGTATGCACCTGTCTGCACCTGTCTGCAGTAGCTCATGTAAACATGATACAGTATTTTTGTATTGACATAACAAAACTGTAAGAAATATAAAAACAAAATGAATTAGATTTTAAATCAATATTATATGTATAAATGTTCATACTTTGCACCATCTACATATTAAACGTTTTAAAGTATATGATATAATAATATTACTCTATACATATTGCAGATATAGCATGAAATTTGGTTAAAGTTCTCAATGACAAAACCCTGAACCAGTTAAAGTTATAACTTCAAATATACTCTACAGTAGCTATATAACATCTGAACATCATATAGTTAATTAGCCCCTTTTTATTAACATTAAAGTAAATGTTATGATACTCAAGTTCATATCATACTTATTATCATTATCGGCTAAAACGCGTTTTGATTGATACTGTCATCAAAGGTAAAAATAATTTTAACTGTCATTACTATTATTTACCAAGGGGCATTTTTGACTGAAACCATACATTTTTGAAAAAGGTGTGCTTTAACTCACATCGGCACTTTCAATTAACACCCCTTTCGATCAGTAGTGCTTATCTTGATGATGTCAGTAAAAGAGTATCAGACTATAGCCCTCATTATCTATATCTATTTCTTTAAGTTTTATACATAAGCAAGAAAATAATGCTATTAGCTAAATATATATTCACTATCTCAAAAATATTATTAGTACAACACAGATAATATAAATATGTCTTTTCTACCAATGTGTTTAGACAGTACTACTTTTTTTTAACTGTTAATTATTAGAAGGCTGTTTTTCTTTGCCTTTGGTATTAGAGAGTAATTGATAATTTATTTAAAAAAAAACATAAATTATTTGGTCATTAATTATCCTAAATATACATATACCTCTTTATAAAGCCCAAAGAATATCTAATTGCTCACAAGTAAAGAGTATGTGTCTGTTTCACCGGTGCTCTTTTAATGGTACTCCCTTGTCAACCAAGAAGTATTTTAACTTACATCACAATTATTAATGAAGAAGAATCTTTCCAACCACGGGAATTATTTACTGACAGGTGTTTCATCTAGCATTGACATTACTGTAATCATTGCTATATCATCACTATGAGAGAGAAAAAGATAAAGAGCTGCAAGCATTTTGGTTAAAAAATAAAGAGTATATAAAGATGTCTTTTACATTTAATGAATAGCACCAAAATCCTTTTCGCAGCTTTATTTTATATATTACATATGTACCAACCCAACCAATATGTCTTCTTCCAACGCCAGCCAGCAGAGAGATAGAATATCTACACAGCAATACCAATGTGATCAATGTGTCTTGTTTTTTGATAACTACCAGAAGCTGCAAAACCACAAGAGAATTCACAGAGGAGATTCAGCAACAATGACTGAAATTGACCAGTCTATTCTGAATGATGTTGACATGTACCATGACAAAAATGATACTAGTAATGAAGATGAATCTGTTAGCAATTCAGGTAATGAAAAGAGCTGTAATTGTATTATTTATTTTCCAATTACTAAATAATGTATTACAGAATATACTATGGAGTCTATGAAGCTTGATAATACTATTTCATATAAGTGCACATGTAATTTTGAGGACAGTGAGGGTGAAGCTCACATTTATGACAGCAGCCGAATCAGTACAAATACTTTTACCAAGGCCGAGTTGATAAGTATTCATCTGTCTCAATTGATGCTACGGTATAGAATTGCTAGAGCAGCGTATAGAGACATTGTTCAATTTATAAACATTGTCATCCGAGACCATGACGATATAATGATGGGTAAAATAATATATTTTCTGTTACCTTGTACTTTAATTCCAGATCACTAACATGTAGTGATATTGTTTTTTTTAGAACCTGGGGCTAAGATCAGTCATGGCAAAACTGTTGACGCTTTGCTCAAGTCAAAGTCAAGTGTCAAGGGCCATGAGTATGATGTCTGCTCTAGTGGTTGTCAATTGTATGGCATTAATGACAACCAGAAATCTTGTGTTGACTGCGGCAAACCGCAATATAAGACTGATCCCAATCAAAGTCAGACACCAGCCACCAGTATGAAAATTATGTCAGTTGGGGATATGCTTTCTCAAATGTTGGCAGATCCAGCCACAAGAGAACTTCTCTGTTACAGAGCAAACCAGGAATCTGTAGCTGGTCAGCTAACTGACATTTTTGATGGTGACAATTACAAGCAGTTGGTGCAGCAGGGCCTGTTCTCTAATTCCGATGATATTGCCATTGGGCTTTATACCAATGGGTTTGTCAATCAAAAGAAAGGCAAAAACTCATATACCATCATCCATTGCATAATATTCAACCTAGACCCATCAATCAGATAATTAATTAATTTATTACTATTTATTATTATTATTACATTCTTTTAAAAAAAAAGTTACTAATAAAATACTTAGATATACCAACAAATACCTTTTGCAACTGGCAATCTTGCCTGGCCCCAAGAAGCCAACTCATTTGGACTCCTTTCTTATACCCATCATCAATGAATTGCGAGATCATGAGGCACATGGCTTGGTTGTCAAGCACAATGGAGTGGAGCTTTGCAGATCCAAGGTCTATCTGCTGCTTGCTTCCAGCGATATTCCAGCTGTAGCTGATATGGCCCACATTGGTTCCCATACAAGTTTATTTGGTTGCTATTTTTGTGAGACCAAAGGCAAATGCCCTACTAACAGACGGCATGGCATGTACTTTGATGACATTTCCACCCGGTTAAGACCTTTGGAAGACTTCAAAGTAGGCAACCCTGTAAGTATACAAATGTTCAATTAGCCATCTTTTTTTTGTACTAAATAACTGCTTGTAATAGTCGAAGAACATATACCAGCCAAGCATATATACCCAACTCTCAACCTTCTCTAAATCATCATTTTTTGCATTAGATGAACTTCATTTAATTGCAAGAGGGATTGGAAAGCTTGTGTATGACCTGATTACTGTCACCCTCACAAAGGAAACCAAATTTTATTATACCCATCCAGACAATACCCTCAATACCACCGAATACCCTTTTCATATACCAAGAGCAGACCTTGTAACAATCGGAAACTGTATCACCAGCTCACGAAAATATATACCCACCTCATTTCAAGGCAGTTTCGACAACGTATTTGCCAAGATCGATGGTACTCGCGCAGTGGACTGGCTTGACTTTCTCTTATACCTTATCCCCACTTTGGTCGTGCCTTATTTACCAAATAGGGCTGTTAAAACAGCTCTATTATCTCTCGTGAAAGGTTGCGCGCTTGCCTTGCAATGAACGTTGACATCAGGATTGCTTGATGAGATGGAGTCGTAAGTTATTATACGTCTCATATATTATCATTACAAATAGCTGATTGTTACCATTTTTTAAATATTAACAATAGATACTTCAAGCACTGGCACTCGTTTTTATACCAACAAGTCCAGAATAATACCCTGTCTCGTAGTGTTTTCCGACCAGTGCAACATTACCTGGTCCATATACCCTATATCATCAAGCAGCAAGGCCCCCTGCGATGCTACTCTACTCGCTCAATGGAGAGAGTAATTGGCATCTTCTCGAAATTGATAAAGTCCAAATCAAAGGGTGGCCGAAACGCCAGTTTTCTTGTCGAGCGATTTGCAATTCACAATTATACCAGCACGGCAATCAGCATCTGTGATGAAATCAACCTCATTCGGCCAAAGCCATATGGAAGAGAGAGCTACATGGACCTTCCTAATGATCCTAGTGGTGCGCAGTTGTGGGAGCTGTTTCATCAGTTTGTTAGTTTGAACGATGATTCGGTAGAAGGTGTAGGCGGCCCTAGTGTGAAGCACTGCAAAAGGAGGGGGGATCCAGTCGAATTTTATTTTTTGAATTTTGGCAAAATTTGGAAAAATATTTCAAACACCATCGTTTTTCAATATATTTTTTTCTTGAGATATGAATTCGCAATTTTTTCTGATTATATTAAATAAACACAGATACAAACACAAATATTTATTAATTAGGCAATAAATCGCACAATTGTTTTAAAAAATATATGTTTCGATTGACTTGGCAGAAAAATAAAAAATAAAAATAAAATATTAAATGTTAAATGTAGTATTTAATTATTTTTCTGGAAGGAAAAACTTGTTGTTACAGATGCACCTAATTTAGACTCAATAATATTTTTATTTCATCGCAAAAAATACCAATTTTTATTAGAATATAATAATGTATGATATATGACTTATTTTTAATAAGAAAGTATATCAAAAAAAATTGAAAAAAAAGAGCAAGAATTGATGTCATAAAAAATACAAGAAAAAGAAAATCCAAAAAAGGCCACTGGCCAAAATGAGCGAGAATTGATGTTATGTTAAAAAAACGCGAAAGAGAAAAACTATACCATTATATCAGTGATTATTAAATTGAAACCCCATTAATAATCAGGCACACTTTTTTTAAGAAAAGATTGCTGCATCAAAATCCATTTGTAATTCTTACTAATAGGGACGGTAAGCTCAATGTAGTCAATGACATAGTGAACAAGATATATCAACTCATTATTAATGACAAAAATAAGAGACATATAAAAGATGAAAATAAAATATAGTATACACCTCTTTATTATTATATTATTATTAATATTATTCTTACTGTTATGAATTCTATAACTAAAATCTACACTGTTATGTGTACATGTTCATCATGTACCAAAAATGCAATTGGCAGAATTTTGCAAAATGCACAGACCTTTAAGTGTCATAATAATGCTGATAAGTTATTAGACATTGGCCCAAAAAATCGAGGTAAATGACATTTGAGTAGTATGCGCATTACTGGATAAATTGTAATCTAATATTTTTTTTGTTAATTATCAGTTAATACAGAAGTTATCAAAGAAGAGACAGACGTTGAGATGGTAGATGTATCTGAAACATCGATTGATTGTGAGTATAAAATTTCTTTTTAATAAATCATAATTTAGATAGCTAATAGTCTGGTTTTACTATAGATGAAGACAATTATTCTATTGTATCAGCCGAAACTACCGTACAGAGTGTACCTTTTTTGAGAGAAGACCAGATTTTTCAATTCGAAGAGTCTGATGTTGAGACAACATCATTGGCTTCTGACAATGACGATCCTGATTCAAGCGATGAGTCTGAAGATGAGAGCAAAGTTGAGGTTGCTGGTGTTGAAGATTTTGAAGACATGGTTGCTTCCAGTATGCATACATTTAAAAAAGAAATATACATAAATTGTGTTACAAATAATTAACAGAAATACTTGCCTTTGTAGTTGCTTCTTTGAAAATTCATGAAATGTCTCAAACAAGACAATTCATGGCTCTATTTGGCGTTATCTTTCAGGCGTTTTACTTGGTTCAAGCAGGTAGAACTGCTATGTTGAAATTCTTCTGCCATCTTCTTGTTGACTTTGATAAGGATACCGATCTCCCACTCACCATTGATGTATTAAAGACTATGACTGACTTTAATTTCATGACAAAAAGCATCGTCAAATACACCGTCTGCAACAAGTGCTTTGCAATTTACCTACCAGGCAATCGCCAACCAAATTGCACATTCGAAAAATACACAACCACACCACCAACATACTGCGGAAATCCTCTTTTCTCTGACACCAAAGCTGATCGCGCCGTCCCTCTCATGGTTTTCCCATACAACTTGCTCAAGAATGCATTGGCACAGCATTTTGCCAAACCTGGGTTCGAGCATCAAATCGTTCAATGGAGATCAAGGGAAACCGTAAACAGTACCTTGTTGGACGTCTATGATGGTGCAATGTGGTCTGAGCTCCTTGATGAAGATGACAAGCCTTTTGTGAATTACAACCATTCTTTGATGTTGACATTGAATGTGGATTGGTTTCAACCGTTTGAGGGTCGTACACATGCAAGTGGGGCCTTGTACCTGTCAATAAACAACCTGCCTAGGGAAGAAAGAATGAAGCCGGAAAACATTATCCTTGTCGGTGTCATGCCTGGTCCAAAGGAAGCAAAGATCGACCAGATGAACAACTTCTTGGAACCTCTGGTAGACGAGCTGGTAGAGTTATACGGCAGCATAACTATGAAAACTCCAGAGTTCCCCAATGGTACTAGTATCCGCGCTGCTCTTATGTGTGTTGCTTGCGACATACCTGCTGCAAGAAAGACTGCTGGATTTACAGGATTTGCAAGTACAAACGCCTGTCACATATGCAAGCGTCATTTCACTGTTGTTGCTGTAACAAGTAAGATCAATTATTCTGAATTCGATCATGAGAACTGGGTCTCCCGAACAAAAGAAGAAAATGCAACCAAAGCTGAGATGTGGTTCTGCGCAGAATCTGATGCAGAGAGAGCTGTTTTGGAGAAGCAGCATGGCACCCATTTTTCCGAGTTGCATTGCCTACACTACTTTGATCCCTTCCGATGCACGATTGTTGATCCCATGCACAATTTGTTTCTTGGGACAGCAAAGCGTATGATCAGTGTTTGGAAAGACCTGAGGTATCTCCCAACTGCTGTTCTCATCCGTATGCAACGTCTTGCCGATAGTATTCTTGTTCCTCCTGGGTATGCCATTTTATCAACAAAGATCAAATCTGGTTTCCCGTATATGAAGGCAGACGAGTGGCAATTGTGGTGTCTGATTTATTTGTTGGTGGTACTAAAAGACGCTTTGCCTGAAGACGACTACAAAAACTGGACTCTTTTATAAAAGCATGCCGAAAGTTGACCAGTCCTTCAGTCACATATTCAGAAATTGACAGTGCACACCAGCTCCTTGGAGAATTCGGAAAAGAGTGTGAGACTCTTTATGGAGAGAGCAGCATCACGCCAAATATGCACTTGCATATGCACTTGCGTGAGTCAATGCTTAACTTTGGTCCGGTATACGCATTCTGGCTGTATAGCTTCAAGAGATACAATGGCAAGTCAAAGAACATCAAGACGAACCATTGCAATGGTCTTGAGGTTACCTTCATGAGAGTCTTCCTGGAGAAAGCATTCATTGGTAGCTTTCTTCGAGCGTATTCTACCAATCTTTTATCACCACTGATAGAGTTCCTTGAGGGGGTTGCCCAAGTAAAATCAAATTCCGACAGCTCTTCTCCCTTGAATTTGGATGCTGGCCACCCTCCTGCGTTGCCATTTAGCTTAGTAATGTTCCAGCAAGCTGCTATCAATCCATGGTACAATGTCACCGGAAGTGAGACCTTGCCCCCGACCACATTGCCAATCAAGTTGCAGCCTTTGACTATGATGAAGGATGATTACTATCAGTGGTTATTTGAATTCTATGTCAAGGCTTATCAGAGTACAAGTGTTTCCTTCTGTGTGGTAGGGAGAATCCCAATTGGTGAGGATGTATTTGTGAACAATCGGATTCAAAAGGTGAAGAAGATTTCGTTGCTGGGGCAAGAGTACTGCAGTGGTGAAAAGAAGAAGCGCGGGTCTTTTGTGAGGGTATTGTTTCTTGAGAGAACAAATGACGATGTATCTGAATTCCCTGGTCAAATAGAGTATTTATTTACTCATACCATCAAGATTGGTGGAGTCAAAAGAGTGTCAACGTTTGCATTCATTAAATGGTTTCCCGCCTACCATTTAAGTAGTCATCAGCCATTAGCTGATCAAGGTCTGCAGTTGTGGGACAAGGGATTTATGGAAGAAGATGCTTCGTGCATTGTTCCAGTGCATCGTCTGCATTCGTGCTTTGTGTTGACTACGCATAAAATGCAGAGTGGGACGCAAAAGCACCTGGTTATTCCACTGCCTAGAAAAGTAGTCACATAAAAAACAAAAAAAAATAACAACTATTTAGGTTACCAGTATAAATAATTATAATACGAGTTTTTTTGACTATAAAAAGGTTTAGCTTTATTTATCTCTGTATTCTTATTTAGTTTTAACATTACTTCTTTATTAAGTATTTAAAAGAGCAATAGTAAATTATATTACCAGTTTTTTTTAACTATTAACAAATAGTAAAAACCATTATTTATTTCTCTTGCTTTTATCAATAATATAAAAGACAAAAAAACTTGTATATTTAATACCCAACATTTACCATTTTCTTAGCCTTTATTATATATTCTTGCTAATATTGGTATTATAATTTCCAATAAAAAAAACGAGGATAACACAATCAGGGTTATATAATTAAATAATTGCTTTGTATATATATTTCTTTTATTAATTGGCTTTAAAATAAAATAAAATAAAATAAAATAATAATTTATTATTTTGATTTTTGATTTTGTCTCTTTCTTTCTCCTTTTATTTATATATTAATTGCTTCTCATCTTGACAATACCGCCTGATTATATTTTACCACTTCACCCCACATCATTCAACACAATCAATAAAAATTATTAAAGTACTATATTCACTTTGTAAACAAAATAACAATTTATTGTTGGCATGTGTGAATCCAAGCAGCAACAAGTGCCTTTTTCTCATTTGATAACTTGGTGTTTCTCAAAATAACTAGATAGACAGAATTGCCAATGACGTCTGGTCCCTTGTTAGCAAGTCTCTGTTCCTTCAAAACAGTAAAGTATTCATCCACCTGCATTATAATATAAATACTTTTGAGTTAGAAGTATTAAAAAAATAACTTTTATCATGAGAGCCTTACCAAGGGATGTCTATTTCTAGGAGTATATCTAGTTTTATTTTTCTCCTCATCTGACTCAATATCAGACAACATGTCATAGTCCAGAAGGTCAACGACAGTCTCACCAAACGTAGACTCAAGGTTTGCCTTGTCAGCTAAGTGAATTGCCTTGTAGTCTGCAAGAATCTGAAAAAAAAGTTAAAATAGTTTACACAAAAACTGTTGACTATACTTACGTTTCTCTTTCTTGACCGGCATCGAGAAATCCGATTTTGTCGAGCTATCTTTTCTGGCAAAGCTTTTGCCCTTTGAAGCATATACAAAATATGTCTTCGGGTTTTCTCTTCCACAACTGCAGACGAAACAGACTTTACTTCAGCTTGCTGATGTGTGTAGCTCTGCACTACATCAGCAATGGGACGGTTGGATGTTGAGAAGGCGCCCTCATTGACTGTCAATGGCATTGTTGCCAGAACTGCTCGTGTTTGAGAACGGATCAATCTCTGCAAAATATAATGTAAGTAACTTTGCAATATTCTATTACTAGTATATATCCTACCGAAACCGTTGGAAGGCGGTACTTTATATATTCTCCTGTAGTAAGAGCCTGACCGATGGGACTATGGTTCGAATTGTTATTCTGGCCATTGGTTGCTCCCATGTTGTGGTAGACCTTCTCCAGAAGTGAATGAGATTCATTCAGTCGGGTGCTCATGGTGGACAAAGTGGACAGGACAGTACCATCTAGCTCTGCGCTAACTGTCAAGCTGGGAAGAATTTCCCGTTGTCTTGTGCTTGCTGCTGTCCCAGCGGTTTGTTGAACAGACTTTTTTGTAGTCGTCTTTTTCGTTTTTTTGGATTGCTGCGTATTAGAAGACATGAATTGAGATATTTAAGGCTAATGAAAGAAATGGAAACAATGTGAATACTTTAATAATTAGAGTCGGGTTTCTTTAAAATAATAAAATAAATCAAAACATACGTAAAGGTGGAAAGTAAGGCACCAAAAGATTATTTTTCTGATGATGCTCTTTATAGCATTTTGCTCTCTATATTATACTTTTCTTTATAAGCCGACTTGGAAAGGCATTTGTAATAGCTTACATCCATTACAAAGATGTGAGAGATTATGGTTTAGTATGTAATGTCTTGTCTCAATCGGGATGGGTTGAATGACTTTCAATTTGCTCCATTGATTCTATCAGTTTCTCAGGGTCAACGGTCATAAAATTATAATTTTGAATTTCCCCCATTTTTTTTTTTTAATTTTTTCTTTCTTCTTCTTTACTTCTTTCTTAATGTCTAACATGGTAAGCATCAACTCACATCAAAGTTTCAAGACCTAATCATCTTGTTGTTTTTATTCTAGCATGATACACTATGTTTTAAACCACAAAGTCCTTAACTGTCTCAAAAGTAATGATAAAAAGGTAATAAAAATATACTTGAATATTTATTCACGATTTATTTATTAATTATTCTGCTTAGATTTTTCTGGCCCGTTAACAAAGACATATACCTTGGGAGGGTTTACAAAATGGTATGTTGTATAAATATTAACGTACACCTTCAAGATACAACTTGTATTTATTATTTTTCTTATGTATACCATACACTCTATAGTCACTGGTCTTTATCTCGGTCCTCTTTTTTTGATTATACACCGACTCTTATTCTCTAAAGACAGACAAGTAAGTAAATAATCATTCTACTTCTTTGTATGTAATTCTAATGAAAAGAAATTATTTTATAGATAATATCTCCATTTCCCGCATGCTGCCTCTTCTATTGTATTGAATAATTGGTAAGCAAAAAATAGTCTGATACTCTTTATTTCATTCTAATAAAAGATTATATTTTATAGACAATGTCATTGTATTTTGTGTTTGTCAACTCTTCTGTTTTCTGAACTGTCTGGTAAGCAAACCATAGTCTTATTTACTTTGCATCGTATTAACAAAAGTTATTATTTTTATAGACAATATTACTATAATTGAGACATTTAACTAAAACGTTGATATATCTATCTTTATGTTAAAGACATCCATCTGTTCTCGTGTTTAACTTTATTGTAAGTACATTCATATTTTTTAAATAATCTGTCGCTCTCAAATAAATATACCTAGAACATTCTTTCTAATCCACCCTATAATTATTTTTTATAAAAGTAAACAAACAGGCCAAGAAGGCGTGCCGCAGCAAGCAATGGAATACAGTAGGGGTCGATTGCATCAGGGGTGGACCAATGGATGTTCGAAAGGAATAACATAGTATCCACTAAAATAAATGACGGCATCGAGTGTGATGTTTCTACCCAATTGCAACAGAAGACGATTAGTGATGTAGACGAATAGAAATAGCTAGAAACAATAAGAAAATTTTTTCAAACCAATAAAAACCTTTAAAATGACCCATAAACCTCTAAATCTTGACTAAATCTTGACCAAATCTTGACCAAATCTCTTCTTTAACAACCCATATATAGTAATAAAAAGATGTTGAATGTTATGTGCTATATTTAAAAAAAACCCAAAACCAATATAAAATGAAAAATCTGCGGTCTGATAAAAGTGCGTCTATATTTTCACGACCAAAATATATCACATAAAAGTATATCACACTTTTTCTTTTTGCGTTCCTAAAATTCAGTATACTAATTGTATTCATTTAGCTCACAAATTTTAAAAAATTGGCATCATAAATTCCGATCGAATTCATGCTGAATTTTATTCATTCAGACAGTATTTGGTCAAGATTTAATATACTGAATTGGCTCTCCTTTTGCAGTGAAAAAAGCTTTATTGAAATACTACCGGAGAACAACAGGCTTGACTGGCCACGAGTTTAGTGACTCTGTTGTTGTTGTAGCTGCACGTCTGTGGATGGACTCGACTGTATATTCCTCATGCATGTACCAAAGAAAGAAAAACGAGACCAGTCGTGGCAACCATTACGTGATGTTTACTTGCCCCTATAGAAAGTAAGTATAATATTTTTCGATATACAATCAAAAGTTGCTTACATTCTATTTATTTATTTATTTTAGCAACCATAATATAATTGTTCACAGCTGGCTCGTCAGTACAGTACAGCTCTACTTTCAGCATGTAGATTTCTATGGCTTCCCACACTTTCTTGCTTTCGTGGAGGTCATGAAGGAACATGACGCAGCTGGCCATGACTCATCAGTACCTATCGTCAAACAATGGTCACAAAGCACCCATACACTAGGCCACCAAACGCAACCGACTTATGCAGTTATAAGTGTAAATGACATTTGTCATCAAGTTGGTCTGGTCCAATACCTACTGAATGGAAACCAGTTTTATGTAATTGCGCCCTATTCTATCTTTAACAACAACATGTGCATTACTAAAGGCAATCTTTCCATTCTGTAATCTTTTTTATTTTTATCTTATTTTTCTATATGCTCTATATCCTTATATCTCTTATATTTTTTATATCATCCTTGTATCTTATATTCCTTTTTTAATTTTCTCTATTTCTTATGTTTTTTTTAATCTCTATATGCCCCGTCTTTCTTTTCTTCTTTATATACTCCAGTTTTTTTTCTATTCTCTATACACCTTATGTTTTTCTCTTCATTCCCTATATGCTCTATACGCCATTACGCGATTTAAATAAAATCAAATTGCCAATTCATCAAGATAAAAAGAATATCTAAAAAAAAAAGAACGTAGTTTAAAAAATAAAAAAATGGCAGTTATGTTACCATTTCGTTCACACATTCCAAAAATTATTAATCTTAATAATTGTTGACATCTTTGATATTCAATAAAACATATATTTCAATACTCAAAGTGGTCATTACAGCTTACAAACATTTTTTACAGTATTGAACATATTGTACAATAACAAAAAAAGTGTTTTCATGTCACTTTTTTAAATTGCTACGAATGACATTACCATCTTACAACAAACGGCGGAGATTTTATTGGGTTTCGACCAAAAAAATGGCAGTTATGTGCCTACTTTTGGCCCAACTGCCATTCATCCTGCCGTAGTGTATTATTTTTGCGTTAATCACAGTTGAGAACGTCAACATCATTAGCAATAGCTGTGATGACTCTGGTAGGTTCGTTCCCTACTCCTCTCTTTCTGATCTTCTTCTTCATATCCAAAATGATCTGATGGTTCTTGGGATCTTTTATTGAGAAGAGATTTGTCATCAAGATCTTGACATCTTCCTTCTGTCATTTCATGGCTTGTTCTCTTTCCATAGCCATGGTATGTCTGTTGTCAGACTCCATATTTATATGGGCAAATTCAAGCCCTTCCCTGAGAATCGTGTTCCTCTCATCATCTTTTCTGATGTAATCAGAGTGACTGCAGTATAGCTGCTCCATATGAGTGGTATAGTCCCTTGTATCGGCCTCCAGACCCTTTGCACACTTTCTTCCAACAGGGCGTTGTGAAGACACTTCGTCCTCATCAGTGTTGCTGATATCAGCAAGGGTAGACGTCACTATCTTCTTCTTCAATGTCTTCCTTGTCTTCTTTTTTGGAACACTTGGTGTCTACTTTGGATGTTTTGACAAGATGTTGTAACAATGCTCCAGGCTGAAGCTTGTTCCCATCTCGGCCAAGTAAAACTCCTTTGCTTTAGACTCCTAATTTTTTATTAACTACTGTGAAAAGCATAGTACATGTATTTCATACTTTGACTACTTACATCTGATTGCTCATTCGAACCGCTTGCTTCCATCCGTCTTACTTGGGATTAGATCCCAGCATATTTTCCAACAGCCTTGTTTATAATCTGCCAGCAAACAGGCAAGGCATGGCTAGTGCACACTGCAAAAGGAGGGTGGATTTAGTCAAATTTTATTTTTTGAATTTTGATAAAATTTGGAAAAATATTTCAAACACCATTGTTGTTCAATATTTTTTTCTTGAGATGTGAATCCGCAAATTTTTCTGATTATATTAAATAAACACAGATACAAACACAAACATTTATTAATTAGGCAATAAATCACACAATTGTCTTAAAAAATATATGTTTCAATAGACTTGGCAGAAAAATAAAAAAATAAAGATAAAATATTAAATGTTAAACGTAGTATCTAATTATTTTTCTTGAAGAAAAAACTTGTTGTTACAGATGCACCTAATTTAGATTCAATAATATTTTTATTGCATCGCAAAAATACTGACTTTTATTAGAATGTAATAATGTATGATATATGACTTATTTTTAATAAAAAAGTATATAAAAAAAATTGAAAAAAAGAGCGAGAATTGATGTCATAAAAAATATAAGAAAAAGAAAATCCAAAAAGACTACTTGCCAAAATGAGCGAGAATTGATGTCATGTTAAAAAAATGCGAATGAGAAAAACTATACCATTAATAATCAGGTACACTTTTTTTAAGAAAAGATTGCTGTATCAAAATCCATTTGTAATTCTTACTAATAGGGATAGTAAGCTCAATGCAGTCAATGACATAGTAAACAAGATATATCAACTTATTATTAATGACAAAAATAAAATGCATGTAAAAGATAAAAATAAAATATAGTATACACTTCTTTGTTATTTTATTATTATTAATATTATTCTTACTGTTATGAATTCTACAACTAAAACTTACACTGTTATGTGTACATGTTCATCATGTACCAAAAATGCAGTTGGCAGAATTTTGCAAAATGCACAGACCTTTAAGTGTCATAACAATGCTGATAAGTTATTAGAAATTGGCCCAAAAAATCGAGGTAAATGACATTTGAGTAGTATACGCATTACTGAATAAATTGTAATCTAATATTTTTTTGTTAATTATCAGTTAATACAGAAGTTGTTGAAGAAGAGACATATATTGGGATGGGATATGTATCTGGTACATCGATTGACTGTGAGTATAAAACATATTTTTAATAAATCATAATTTAGATAGCTAATAGTTTGTTACTACTATAGATGAAGACAATTATTCTATTGTATCAGCCAAAACTACCATACAGAATGTATCTTTTTGAGAGAAGACGAGATTTTTTAATTTGAAGAGTCTGATGTTGAGACATTATCATTGGCTTCTGACAATGACAATCCTCATTCAAGCAATGAGTCTGAAGATGAGAGCAAAGTTGAAGTTTTCGGTGTTGAGGATTTTGAAGACATAGTTGCTTCCAGTATGTATACATTTAAAAAAGAAATATACATAAATTGTGTTGCAAATAATTAACAAAAATACTTTTCTTTGTAGTTGCTTCTTTGCAATTTCATGACATGTCTCAAACAAGCCAATTCATGGCTTTATTTGGTGTTATCTTTCAGGCATTTTACTTGGTTCAAGCAAGTGGAACTGCTATGCTGAAATTCTTCCTCCATCTTCTTGTTGTCTTTGATAAGGATACTGATCTCCTTCTCACTGTTGATGCGTTAAAGATTATGACTGGGTTCAATTTTATGACAAAAAACATCGTCAAATACACTCTTTGCAACAAGTGTTTTGCAATTTACTTACCAGGCAATCACAAACCAAATTGCACATTCAAAAAATACACAACTACACCACCAACATACTGCGGAAATCCTCTTTTCTTTGACCCAGAAGTTGATCAGCCCATCTCTCTCATGGTTTTCTCATATAACTCCCTCAAGAATTCCATTGCACAACATTTCGCCAAACCTGGGTTTGAGCATCAAATCGTTCAATAGAGATCAAGCGAGACAATTAACAGTATCTTGTCAGACATATATGAAGGTGCAATCTGAAGTGAGCTTCTTGATGAAGAAGATGAGCCTTTTGTTAATCTTGATCATTCCTTGATGCTGACATTGAATGTGGATTGGTTTCAACTATTTGAAGGCCGTACACATGCAAGTGGTGCTTTGTACCTGTCTATGAACAACCTACCAAGAGAAGAAAGAATGAAGCCAGAGAACATTATCCTTGTCGGTGTCATGCCTGGTCCAAAGGAAGCAAAGATTGACCAGATGAACAACTTCTTGGAATCTCTGGTAGACGAGCTGGTAGAATTATATGGTGGTGTAACTGTAAAGACTGCTTCATTCCCCAATGGTACTATTGTTTATGCTACTCTTATATCTATTGCTTGCGACATACCTGCTGCAAGAAAAACCACTGGATTTACAGGGCATGCAAGCACTAATGCCTGTCATAAATGCAAGCGCCACTTCTCTGTAATTGCTGGATCAAGTAAGATTGATTACTCTCGGTTTGACAATGAAAGCTGGGTGACAAGAACAAAGGAGATGAATGCCATATACGCTAATATGTGGGCTTGTACAGAATTAAGTGCAGAAAGAGCAGACTTGGAGAAGCAAAATGGCACGTGGTTTTCTGAGTTACATTGTTTGCATTACTTTGATCCCATTCGGTGCACAATTGTTGATCCCATGCACAATTTGTTTCTTGGGACAGCAAAACATATGATCAGTAGTTGGAAAGACCCTGGCTATCTCCCTGCTGCTGTTCTTGTCCGCATGCAATGCCTTGCTGATGGTATTATTGTTTCTCCTGGGTATATCATTTTGTCCACAAAAATCGAATTGGGTTTCCTATATATGAAGGCAGACGAATGGCAATCATAGTGTCTTGTATATTCGCTGGTGATACTCAAAGACGCTTTGCCTGAAAAAGACTTCAAAAACTGGACTCTCTTTGTCAAGGCATGCCAAAAGTTGACTGGTCCTTCAGCCATGTACTCAGAGATTGACAGTGCACACCAGCTCCTGGGAGACTTCGGAAAAAAATGTGAGATTCTTTATGGAAATAGTAGCATCACTCCAAATATGTATTTGCATATGAACTTGCGTGAGTTGATGTTTGACTTTGGTCCAGTGTATGAATTCTGGTTATATAGCTTTCAGAGATACAATGGCAAGTTGAAGGACATAAAGACGAACCGGTGAAATAGCCTTCAGGTTACATTCATGAGAGTATTCCTGGAAAAGGCATTTAATAGCACTTTCCTATATGCATATTTTACCAACCTTTTGCCACCAATAATACAGTTCCTTGAGAGCATTGCCCAAGTTATGTTGGTATCTGCTCTCTTGCCTCTCCCTTGCCTGGAGAATGGTCATCCACCTGTACTGGCATTCAACCTTCCAATGTTTCTGCAGGTTGTCACAAATCCATGGTATAATGTCACCAGAAGTGAGGCCTTGCCCCCAACCACTTTGCCAATCAAGCTGCAGCCTTTGACTATGATGAAGGATGATCACTATCAGTAGTTACTTGAATTCTATATCAAGGCTTACCAGAGTACAAGTATTTCCTTCTGTGTGGTAGGGAGAATCCCAATTAGTGAGAATGTATTTATAAACAATCAGATTCAAAAGATGAAGAAGATTCCGTTGCTGGGGCAAGAGTACTGCATTGGTAAAAAGAAGAAGCGTGGGTCTTTCATGAGGGTTTTGTTTCTTGGGAGAACAAAACGACAATGTATCTGAATTCCCTGGTCAAATAGAGTACTTATTTACTCCCACTGGAAAAATTAAAAAAATAAGGTAGTTTAAATATGGGGTATAGTGTAGTGTAATTTCCATATTTAAATTAGTTGATTTTTTTTCCACTTGTGCTGAAGGTGACCTTCACAGATAGTGGAATGACTAGAGTCAACTAGCAGAATTGTGGGTGGGGGGTGCCGCAGGTAAGGTTTGTTAGCACTTTAGATATACTTATCTGACTTGATATATAAAAAGAAAGTTTTTTAAAACTGCGTATCTATTTTGATATTCTTTATATGGAACCATAAAGGTCAGGCACCGACATATTATGAAGATTAAAAGTAGCGTAAAGGTGACCTTTAAGCTAGTTTATTGTTAAGAAGTTTGGTCATCAGCAGCAAAAAAAGGCGTCTTTAAAATTATGGACCAGTAATATGTTCTTTATTTATTTGGTTTCCCATTCTTATTAGGCTGGTAATGGTTTACGCTTTTATTTTTATTGGAAAGAATAGAATGTTTCTAGGTTTCAGATCTAATAATACTATTCTATATCTCTAGCTACTTCTTGCTCGGTCGGTTTGTTATATTTGGGATGAAAAATTTTCTACAAAAAAGAAATACCTAAAAAAAATGAGCTGCTCAATACGTTTTTTTTAGGGTACGAGCAGTACTCTTTGAGAATAGATAAATCGTTAGTGATGGGTGTGCGTGTGTGTTAGATATTTCAATTCTTATAAACCATTAATACTTACATTGGAATTATCCAGTACAAAGACCAAACAATAAAATATTACAAGTAAAGCTACGGAATTTTGATTCCTTTGACTATGAAAATGATTGGAAAAAATTAATTTTTGTGAATTGGGCGATATAATTATTAATTTACATACCCAAAGCAAACGGATTTATTTGTAGATATAGATAATACTTATCAAAAGTCGATATAGTATCTGGTAGTTTTTTTATTAATAAACAGTATAAGTAATATAATGATACATATAAGGATAGTAAAAGAACAAAAAAAGTCTTACCATGTCAATGACAGCAGCATGAGATAGAAGCTTTTGATCCATAGCATGTTTTGGAGAGGATTGTTCATCTATAGTAAAAATTGGATTCAGTTTGATTATTATTAAAGAGAAATATAATAAATAAATAGATAAAAATATTACCGTGTTGGTGGTCGTGTTTAGCTGTAGAAAATATTTTGGGTGATATGTCCTATAAAAAAGATAGGAAAAAATCAGGATACTTTTATGAGATGATGGTATGAAGTATATTTACTAACCTTGGCTAATCCGGATGGCCATTGTGAAGAGGATGCATCAGAAGGAAACTATACGCAAGTGACTATGGTAGCAGAAACACTTGTTATTACTCAGTTATATTTGAAGAAATTACTAATAAAGAAAAATAAAGAAAAAAAGCGTCTTACTAGGAACATTTGCAAGTATAAGAGTAAAAGAGAAAGAAAGAAGTAAAAAGAAAAGAGAGGGCGAGTGTCTATGGCAACTGAAACAACTAATTCTTTTTAGTTATATAAAAAAAAGTACTTTAAAAAAGCAGATTAAAAAAAAAGACTAATAAAAAAATAAAAAAAAATGGGTGGAGACAGCGACGAAGAGTGTGTCTATGGCAACAGAATAAATAAATTCTTTTATTTTCTATAAAGAAGACTTTTTAGAAAGAACATGTCTTACACAAATAGTTCGCAAATATAATAGAAGTTGCAGAGATAGAGAAACAAAGAAAAGACCAATAGCAAATATAAAGAGCAAAAAAAAAGAGAAACAGGAACAACAACAAAAAAAGAAAAAAAAATAAAAAAGAAAAGTGCGTTTGAAACAAAAGACTAGACTGGTTTGATCAATTGGGTTCTAAAGCAGTATGAAAGCCGATTTGCATCTCAGTGATTACAAGAAGTATTAATAGAGACTTATATATCAAAGATATGCTGAATATCTATATAAACCATACGTTTTGTATAATTTGTTTACTCTTTCTCCTGCTTTCTTGCTACTTATTGCACTCATACTCAAACACACACACATCAACCCATTTTATTTCAAATAATTTAAGTATGTAAATTTGATATAATTTATTTTTAATTCAATTCAATTCAATTGTATAATAGCATCAATAACAATGTAATGTAAAATTAACAGTTACATTTTTACCTTTTATTATATTCTGTAGACAATGGCTATTCAAAGACGTCAACTTGCTCTTCGTCCCGTTGAGATTACAAACGAACAATTGATGGAAATTCTTTCTACTTTGAAAACTAATATGACAGCCATGGGAACCAACATGGCAGCTGACATGTCGATTGTACAAGAACAAATCGGCACTGTTGAAGATACATTGCTAAACATGAATAGCAGAATTGGTGTTCTTGCTACCAGCAGCACTGAGACAATCACTGCTATTGACAGTTTAAGCAGGGCCCCCCTCGTTTCCCCTACCAATACAATGGCTAATGTTTCTCAGCCTGCCTTCAACGCCCCGTCTGAGTTTAGCAAGAAGGCCTCTAATGATGTTTATGTGAGTATCAACGTGTGCAAAATTTTATTGATGTATTTTCTCATATATTCTATCAGGCCCATATTCGTAATCTCATGTGGGATCCCAAGCTGAAAACAAGAAATCAAGCTGATATCCTGGCAAATGAGAGTAAGCCCAGATGGAATACAAATGTTTTCTTTTACAAGTCGCCAAACAAGGAGTTGGTGGTGCGACTTCTTGAAAACTTGAAGCGCAAGTTTACCCATGAGGGATTTAGAGAGGCAGACTTGAGAGCAAGACTGCACAAAAACTTCACTAGCCGGGTTTCAAAAGCAAGAAAAACCGAAGAGGAAATAAAAGCAACAAACACTCGTTTGAGAAGGGCAGGACGTGCCAGAGATGTAAGTGTAATCTCTAAATAAATAATTTCAAAATAATATAGTTTAGTCTTGAGAATTTTAAAAATACTAATACAAAAAAACTACTATTAGAATCATACTCGCCGTTTACTTGCATACACAGACAACAAAGAAGCAATTGATCTACAAATGAAGAGAGATTGTGACTTCACGATGCAAATGGCAGCAATGTCCGATGGAGAATCTGCAGATGAAGACTTCGAGAATCGCATGAAGAGCATCATCAAGATTGTTCGGCCAGGATGGAGAAGTGACGAGGTATATTATTTTATATTAATAATTATGTCTTATTATAAAAAATATAAAGTGAAGTATTAACAAAATCATTTTAGTTCAATACTCTCATTAAACTCGTTGATGAGTATGTTATTGAAGCAATGGGGTCAAGTGCTTCTCAAATGAAGGAGAGGGTTTTCACCAGTGTGTCCAATACAGCAGTCCCAGATGACATAACCCCAAAATTTCCTCAGTGGGCCCTTAGAGACGGGTATTAAATAAACAAAAATTGCCTCTCTCTTTTTATCTATATATTACTTTTCACATACAAAATACTATCAATATATATATCAGAAATACGCGCTCTGTTTTTTTTGTTAAAGAAAAAGAAATGTAAAAGTTCACTTTATTTATTATTTAAGCATATAGCTTCTTTGGCAATGGAATTACCAGCATTTTGCTAACATTTCTACTTGTTGCAATAGTAGCTGTAGCAACCTCTAATAAGATGCGATGTACAGGTATAATGCTATGGTAGCTATCAGGAGAGAACGTGGGCAAACAAAATTCAACACCGTCATCCTCACGCGACCTATCAGAGGAAGTACGAAACCACTTGATAAATGCGAATACATGTTGATGATCATGAACCATGCGAGTCAGATGGAGATTGTGCGTGGGTGGAAGTTGGAAGGAGTGTGTAAAAAGATACTGAATCTGTCCAGCAAATCCAAGTATAATGTTTCCATTACTACCAACAAACTTTGCCTGAACAAGTGATCCGCGACTGATTGTGCTGTTGTTTGTTCCTTGATAGTGTTGACCAAGAATGTCAATTGACTTCAATTTGATGATTTGATTGTCAAGTGCTGGGCGATTATAGGACGTGTCCTGATAGCTGGCAAGGTCTGGGAGGTTGTAAGCGACTTGGTAGTATTCAAGTAAATGGAGATAGTCGGAATCATCCATTACTGATGGCTTTTTGTATTTTAGAGGAAATGTAGAAGGAGGAAGAGGCTCGTTACCCTTGGGTGGATTATAAGGATCAGTGTAGCCTTGAACGAATGCTTGCAATCTGAATGGGCGACTGGAGAGAGTGGTGACTGTGGCGGCAGGTATGGAGGTTGTAACAAGTTTAGACAGAGTGTGAATGAAGGGGATCTGGCTAGAACTTTTAAGAACAGCATTGACATAATCACCCTTATATGCATTCTGAACAAAATTTTTCATGTAGGTCGCCTCAAATCCGTCTTTGCCATTTGTCTTGAAATTCTTTAAAATACCATTGTATCGCTCAAACCCAAAGAGCCAATAACCATACACTGGTCCAAAATCACGAATGCATTCATGAAGATGGAGGTGTAGGTGCATATTGCAGGTGAGAATAGTGGCGGTATAGTCTACATTACATGCATTGCAAAACTTTTCTAACAGGCTGTGGGCAGTGGTGATCTCATCAAAAGTAATGCTGGGCTTTACGTAGTATCGGCATGCATCAACGAAATACATCCAGTTCTTGAATTGTAATGGAGGGAGAATACCATGCAACAAGAGAGGAGAATAAACCAGAACCCATGATTTCCACTCGTCCGCTTTCATGTAGCTGAAGCCCTTTCCAATTTTGGTTGTCAGTGTGGTATAATCTCTGGGTAGTACCATTGTCTCTGCAATTTTCTCCAACGAAGCAAACTCTTCAGGTCCAATTGTCTTCTCATCAATCCACCGATCCATTAATCTCTTAGACGTCCCCAGGAAAAGATTATGCATGGGATCAATGATCGTTCCACGTACTAGATCAAAGTATCCAAGGCGTTGCAACTGCGACCATCGAACACCATTTTCGACCTCCAGCTGATGCCTTTCTGAGAGTGTACTTGCATCCTTCCACTCCTCAGCATGCAACCTGCTCTCTGCACCACTGCGGATATTCCAACGAGAATAATTGAATCCATGGAAATCAACCTGGTTGCTGCTCCCTAACCGAGTAAACTGCCGGCTGCACCTGTAACAAGCACATGTGCTGTTATGCGCTGTGAATCCACTTGTCTTTCTGGCGGCTGGGATATCACATGCAACCATCAGTAGTGCAGCACGAACACTGACACCATTTGGGAATTCGTGTGTAGGAATCCGCATGCCAACATACAGCTGCTTCAAATCATCCACCAAGGGCTCCAAGTAACTATTGATCTCGTCGGTTTTTGGCTCCTTTGGACCAGGCATGAGACCTACAAGGATAATATTCTCTGGCTTGAATCTTTCATCATGGGGCAAGTTGTTGATGGCCAGATAGATAACACCAGAGGAGTGAGTGACACCATCAAAGGGCTGGAACCAGTCGATGTTAAGTGTTAACATTAGTGAGCGTGGGTCCAACACAAATGATACACCATCCTTGTCCTTCAACTCCTTCCACATCGCACCATCATAGACATCGCACAGAGTATCTACCATTTTCAACTCCTTATTCCATTGACGAATCTTGGCTTCGAAACTAGGGCGACGGAAGAAAACGCTCAATGTATTTTTAATGGATTGGTAGACATATTCACGCTTTGCAACCAAGGCACCGGAAGATATGGATTTCGTCAAATTACAGTTGCATGCAGACCTGGCACCAAGTTTTGAGGAAACACATCGAGGAGGAGCAGATACGATATCCTGATATACTATATGACAGTCTTGGCACACCACAAATTTCTTGATGCCTTTTGTAATAGCAGAAAATCCTGTTATTTTTTGTAAACCGGCAAGACTGGTTGGTAATTGAAAATCTTGGTCGTAGATTCTCAGCAGGTTGTTGATAAACTCAATCAAGACAGCAGCACCCTTATCAACAACATGACGTGAAGCAAACAGTACCGTAAAGATGGCTATGAATTGATGGACTTCATTTTTGGGCATATCAGGAGCAGCAAAAGGGTCTGTAAAAAATTAAAAAAAAATTAACACTTGATTTTTCTTTTACTCTCTTTTTCTTTTAGTTTTCTTTATGTATCTCACACTGACCTTCACTGTTGAAGTCCTCGATCTCGATCTCATTGACTTCATCTTCAACATTGTCATCGAAATCATTGTCGTCTCTGTCATTGTCAAACATTGAGGCGGCATCCAAAAAAGGTGAGTTGGCCTGACCGTCCATTGCTTCCACAGAATCGGAACGAGAGGTTGGGATTACTACAAATATGGAATATAATAGTTTATTAGTTTTTTTTTCTGCTTTCAAATAAAAAAATTCTTACCCTCAGTATCTACATCCATGTTTCTCATTGCGGCTGTGTTTCATTAAAAGTTTAAAAATAAACAACATAAATAAAAAATAAAAAATAAAAAATTAAAACGATTATTACGCAGCAAACAAAAAACCAACACTGAATATATTATACTATTCTCAAATATTCTGGTACCTTCAACTCTAGCTCTCTTATTACGATGAGTCTCAGTACGCTTTGCAGCATAAGAAGATTTCTGATGACTGTTGTGACATTTAATGCAGTGACAGTCTAAGGTGTGGGTTTGGGTAGAGGGAAACATATTGTGTATAGCTTGAATTATAAAATAAAAAAGGAAACAAGTACTACAAATACTTTATTTGATGTGATTTTATAGCAAGCCAAAAAAATATGAATTTTTTATTGTCTATCTAAACCAATAGAATACGTCGAAAATACACCCCCAACTTAAATAAAAAAAACGGCTGAGCTGAAAAAAACCCTGACATTTCCACTACCTTTCTCGTTACTTAAAGCTATAGTATTTTTTTTTATTTTTCCAGTGTCCTACCATCAATATCGGTGGAGTCAAAAGAGTGTCAACGTTTGCATTCATTAAATGGTTTCCTGCCTACCAGTCCAGTCATCACCAGCCGTTAGCTGAACAAGGCCTAGAGTTGTGGGAGAAGGGATACATGGAAGAGAAAGCTTCATGCATTGTTCCAATACAACGTCTGCATTCATGCTTCGCATTGACTACACATAAAATGTAAAATGGGACACAAAAATATTTTGTTATTCTACTGCCTAGAAAAGTAGTCACATAAAAATAAATAAATAAATACAGTGCTACTGGATTTTTTCTATTTGATCGCAGTTTATAAAAATAAGTTCAAGATTTTTTAAAAAAAGTTGGTGGTTTATAAAAAAGAGTTTGCTTTTTTTTAGAATCAGTTTGCTGCCACACAGAAAACTAATTTGCATTCTATCCTACCAAATTTGCATATTTTTTTTTAATTTACATTTTTAATTTGCGCTTTTAATTTTTACTTTAGCCTCAATTTGCAAAGCTTGTTTGCACAAAATATAAATGTAAATTGCAATAAAAGAAATCTAAATTGCATATTATTTTTTTATTTTTTGCATAGAAAAATGTTTAAGAGAATGCATAAGAAAATGTAAAAAATATAAAGAATAAAGATGCTAAAGGTATAAGAAGTGCATAAAAAAATTCAAAAAAGCACATAAAAATATAAATAATAGAGATAATATAGAAATAAGAAGTGCATAAAAAATAAGAATATTATATAAATGAATAAATGAAAGAACATAATAAATAAAATAAAATAAAATTAAAGGTTGGTTTCTCCCTCTAAGCAAGAATGGAAGAAAGATACTGCGTGTCTAATCCACCTATTACAATCTTCAACTGTCACACTCTTTACTTATTCCACAATTCTTGGTATCAATTGATTGTCAGCAGAAAGTGTCTCCCTTTTGACACCAGCCTTCACTTTTGACCAAAACTCTTCGATTAAATTAAGGAAAGGAGAGTAAGATGGTAGAAATATGCATTGGTATCCTCTTTTCTCTATCAGCTCTTGTATGGCCTTTGGATTGTGTATTGGTGCATTATCCATTACCAAGTACTTGCCTTGTTGATTACAGTGATCCAATACGTCCATGACATTTTCAATGAAATGAAGAAAGTGCTCTGATCAGGTTCTAACATGGCCATTGATCTTCTCCACTTTCTTATCCAACTTGCACTTCTTAGAGCTAACAACTGCCTGTGGTTTGCGCAAGGTGACACTGATTACACCAATTTGGGAAATAGCTTCAAGAATAGTAATGCTGACATCTCATTGCGTTGGTACTGTTGTTTTTGCTGGCTTTCCACAGGTGGATCTTCAAAAGTTGCACTTGATATGCATGTTGAAACCTTCCTCATTGATAAAGACGCAGTCTCTGACATAGTCAAAATCCAAAATGGAAAACCATTCAGTCACCTTGTCCTTTCTTAACTGAATTACCCATTCTGAATTGCGAGCTGCAGGAAGTTTCTCAAGTTTATACAGTGTTAGACAGCACTTATTCACCAAATGCTTTTGAAGGCCAGACAGAGTGATTGTCAGATCTTTAAATTTTTCTAGCAGGGCAGTGCGTGCTTCCTGAAGAGTTACAGCAACGTTGTTCTCAAAGTACACGATCAGAAAGGATGAATGTTGTTGTAAAAGCTTGGGAGGAGTGCTGACAGATCTTTTTCCTGTACTTCCAGGAAGACGTTGTTCTTCATCTTTTCTATACTGAGCAATATAGTTTTGGCCAGTACGAACATTAATGCCCATTTTTTTGGCGGCCATCTTAGCAGTCCATCCTTTTGAAAATAAAAATAGCAATTAATATTTATACACTGTCTTTATATTACTTATTTTAGCATACCGTTCTCAATAACTAACTCAAAAAGTCCTTGCACCTGTTCTGGCATGTACTTGTGATAAGTGCCTCTAGGCTTATAAGGTTTTTTCTCAGTTTTTTTCATTTTCTTCCTCCAAAGTCTCCGCATCAGAACCCTGTATACAAGTCTCCTAGTTGGTAGTTGTCTGTTCAAAATCCATCTTTATCACTAGAGTCTGGATTCCATTGCCAGAGTTGGGATAGGTTACTTTCCACTCATGAAGTACAGCATTGGTCATTGTATCTATTGTTCTTTCTTCATAATCATCAACAATGTCCATAGTAGTGGCATCAAAGATCATGTTCATTTTTTTGGTGTTGGTGTGGGTGTTGGTGTTGGTGTGTATGGGATGGGGTGTGAATGTTTATAAAGCAAATTAATATTTTTTAACAAAAAACAGACTACCTTTTATATTACTTTCGCAATAAAATATGACATCCTTTATTTTTATTTGATGTGTTTATTATCTACTGACAATCATTAAACAAATATTTTTCTAAATCTGTGCTAAGAGTATTATTTGATGTTTATATGCATTTGTTCTGCTTACAAATATAGTAAATCTATTGTAACATGGCTAGTTGTTGCTGATTTCATATCAGATTATACTTAAATTTATATTATATTGTTAATCTCTATCATTATCAGCCCTAGTATTTGGGTTATTTTTAGCCAATTGTAAGCTGTAGATATTATTCAATGGTTACTTGGTCCAATTTCATCTTATTACATGCTGTATGTAGCATATTTCACCTTTTTGTAGCTAATTGTGTATCATACTATCTCTAAACTTACAAACACTGTTAATCTCTGCCATTTTCTATCCCAATATCTGGTTCATCTTGGCTGGATTTTCTGCCATGAACAGTATTCGATGATTACTGGGCAATATAATTTTCCAGAATGTTATCTGTAATACATTAAAGCTATATTCTTCTTATCTCTCTGTTGTAGTGGTTGAAGTTGAAAAAGTTTTTAAGAGGAAGAATTGAAGATTTGAGATTAGGAACGAAGATTCGTGAGAACTTGTGTAGGTTTTGTTTATTGAGAAAGGATTTTATATCAAAGTTTTGACCAGGTTCCTACACTGAACTACTACTGCTATTTATATTGTTTTGGATTGGGAAAATTATATGACTGGGGTCAGGTAATTGATCCTATCTGAGCCTTAATCAGAGCAACATGATCTTGAGATAATTAATGTATGATTAATTATATAAATGTGTGTAGTCCCAATGAAGTATTAACATCGAAAGTAAATGTGTTTATGAGTTATAATTATGCTTATAATAATCCACTGATGTATCCCATATTATGGTGATATCATCATATGAAATATAATCACTATCATGTTTGCTAAATCTGTGTGTTAAATAATAAAGTAATTGATAGACACCTTTGACTGGAATAGCTGAAGTCTTATATTATTTCCTTCAGACTTATTCTCAATTACAGCAGTAGTCAATACTCATTTACAACACTCTCGATGAAATTGCACTCATGGTTATATAATTTTCCAGAATGTTACTTATAATACATTACAGCTATATTTTTCTTATCTCTCAAGGAAATTGCCCTCATGGTTACATCACACTGCTTATACTTGCTCTTTTTTATCTAAGCATTGAACTGTTATCTTTTTCTTAATTTTATACAGTGAATCTTGCTCAAGTATTATTGTGTTGATTTGATCATGCTTTGGAATATAACTAAATTATACTGTTATTTTTTACTATCTCTTACACAAAAATTATACATATTATGTCTCATATTTGTACTATCTTTTCTAAGCAGGTGATTTTTACTGCATTATAGTTTACTTTATCTTGGTTTTTACTAAAATAAGCTCAAAGATATGCTCTATTGTTACCCATAACTTTTTTGGAAAGTATTTTTGCTGCAAGTACAAATTTGTTTTCATAGATCAGTATAGTTACTAATTTTATGTACTCACTATTAAAGCATTTAATATCTTTTGAAGGTTTTAATATTACTTACTTACTTTAATTTTGAGTTACTATATTAAATTTATTGTGCTATGGCAAAGGTTTGGAAATAATATAAAAGAGCATTAAAAATTAATTTTCATATCAGTATATTTTTCAATTATTTTAAAAGCCATGTTTAACTTTAACAAGACCAAACAATCGACAATTCTTCCTTGCAATTCTGACTTCATGGAGACATTTGAAGGGAATACTGATAACCACGATTTAAATTACCGTCCTATTCAGACAAGGCCTGTTAAGGAAAGCTGTTCTGCCTTGGTCGAAAAACCAGTATACATGGAAGGTGTCAGCACACAAGACAAGGTTTTGGATCCTGAAGATTTGATTATGCTAGGAGATAAACCAAAGGAGAAGTGCTGCTACCAATCTTATATGGAAGAGGAAACTTTGCTGGTTCTGAAGAAGTATTTTGTTGATGAGATAACAATGGCGGAAGCAGGAAAAAGTGTAGATATGCCAAGATCAACAGCCGGTTGGGTGATAAGACGTATAAGAAGTAGACTAAACCTACCAGCTAGAAGATCCCGTATGCACAAGTATGCCTGTTTAGAAGAATATGAAAAAACACTATGCAAATATGTCAAAACTATGCTTTTACAAAAAAAACTATGAATAAACTATATGCCAGAATTTATATAAAACTTATAGCTACAATGTTCTTTCATTAAAAAAAAGCAAATATATGTGACAAGCGTAAAACAGAAATGCAAAAAATTAAAACCTATATAGATAAATTATATGACATAAGTAATATGAAACTTATAGTTATAATGTTCTTTTATTAAACATATAAAATATATACATTTTCTGGGAATTATTAGTCAAAAATAAAAATAGATTTGGTGCAAAAATAAATATAAAACTTGGTGCAATTTTCTGCCATTTCTTTTCTTAATTCACCTTTTTTGATGCATTTGGTAAATTCTATTTTTTCACCAAATCAATTTTTATTTTTGCACAAATAATATCTGGAAAAAGTGTATACCAGCAGGCAAAACACAGAAACGCAGAAAATAAAAAATAATATGCAATTTAGGTTTTGTTATGGCAATTTACATTTATATTTTGTTCAAACAAGCTTTGCAAATTGAGGCTAAAGTAAAAATTAAATGCGCAAATTAAAAACGTAAATTAAAAAAAAATACGCAAATTTGATAGGATAAAATACAAATTAGTTTTCTGTGTGGCAGCAAACTGATTCTAAAAAAAAGCAAACTCTTTTTTATAAACTGCCAACTTTTTTTAAAAAACCGTAAACTTATTTTTATAAACCGCGATCAAATAGGAAAAATCCAGTACTACTTTCCATTTACTTCTATGCTTCTAAGTGCACCAATAGAAATGAACAACACTCTTATTACTGCATTTTTTAAAAAAGAAGAACACAATTAATAGTTACATGTGACCGTCAGCGGCTTCCTATTGGACGAGCGTACTCACAACTACTCTGACAATGATATTGAAAAAAATATCCTAAAGAAGACCTATACTATATTCTTCCGTGATAGACAGTAAGGTCACGATCAGCTATTCAAATATTATTTCAATGAAAGTACAATCTACACTGACAAACAATTCTGTAGGCATTTTAGAATGAACAAAGCATTGTTTATGCAAGTTCTGGAGACTGTCAAAGACAATGATAGCTACTTTGGGCAAAAGTTAAATGCTGCTTGTAGACCTAGATTATCTTCTACCCAGAAGGTAACCATAGCTATCTGGCAGCTAGCATATGAACTTCCTGCCAGTTCCATAAAAAAACTATCTAGAATGGCAGAGTTAACTGCTCTCGAGTGTCTGAAGCATTTCTGTGCTGCAGTTGTATCTGTTTTTAGCAACAAGTACTTAAGAGTGCGAAAAAAAAAGAATGTAAAACAACTTCATGAAGGCGAATCAAGAGAGTATCCTAGAATGCTAGATTCTCTCAATTGCATATACTAGGAGTTGAAGAACTGTCTCACTGCTTGACATGGGAAATATGTTAGAAAGAAGAAGACTTCTACTGTTTTGGAAGCTGTTGCTTCATACAACCTTTAGATCTGACATGCCTTCTTTGGCTTATCTGGATCTCTGAATGATATTAATATCTTTGATCAATCTCATCTTTTTGAAAGTATAACTAATAGAAAAGATCCTGAAGTTAACTTCATTGTCATTGACAATATATATAGCTAAGAATATTACTTAACGGATAGTGTATACTCAATTTACTTGACTTTTGTTAAAAGCTTTAATGACTCTCAATCTGCAAAGCACAGAGTACATGTATATATATTGTATTATTATTTATTATACTTACTAAGCACTTATCTTCTTTTAGAACTTTGCAAAGACACAAGTCGCAGTCAGAAAGAATGTAGAGTGAGCATTCAGTATATTGCATGCATATTTTGCAATAGTTGCTAGGCCAGCAAAAATGTGGAACCAGGAAACTCTGCATGACATTGTAAATACTTACATAATCTTGCACAATATGATTGCAGAGAATAGCAGAGGAGAGAAAGAAAATGTTGGTGAAGATAGTGGAGTAGAAGGAGAATTTGTAGGAGAAAGATCTGAGATAGATACTTTATTAATTGGAATGACATCCTTGATACCCAGTTCAGAGATAGTGCTCTCAGATGGAAGCTTTGCAAGTTGTCATTCAAAAATATATAGTAATTTGAAACTATGAGCAGCACTTTCAGTTGAGATAAGATGTTATAGAAAGCCTGTGGCAAAAAAAAGAGATTTATTAATCAAATAAAGAAAAATTAAAATTACATATACATTTATTATTTTTGCTTTTGCTTTTTACAAACTAATTGCCATCACAATCTTTTTTTTTGCTGCTAATACCAAAGAAATTGCTGTTCAAATTGTTATTATTGCTGATAAATGTATTCTCTATACCTATTTCCAGAACCTCCTTCTGTAAGTCCAATATCATCTGATAGTGACAGGATCTGCAATCAAAGAAGTATCAATCAACAAAATCTTTATGTTCTGAGTCCTTTAAAGGGTGATATTTTTCTCTCTTATGGCCATTGCTACCATGACGTTAGACTACATGATCTTTTTTAGAAGTTTCTTGTGCTTACTACCCTTTGCAATACTCTCTGAATGCAATGCAATCAGCCTCTCAATGTTTTTCTCCTGCTTTCTTTTCATTATCTCTTGCTCTTTAGCAAACATTTTTTCAATTTGGTGAGCTGAAAACTCTTTTTCGTCTATATTCTTACTAATTGAGCTAGGAGCAGAGGCCACTTCCATAGAATTTCTTTCCTTCTTTTTGGCTGGGACACTTGGTTTTCATTTTGGATGTCTAGCCAAGATTCTGAAGCAGTGACAAAAATTGAACTTTGTTTTTGTCTCTATGAAGTACATATCTGCCTTTACCTCCTAAACTTTTATTTAACTATTGTGGACAGCATAATATATATTATTTATATTTTAATAAATTATATTCCATTTGTTGTTGGTGCTACTGGAATTTGAGTGCACTATAGAAGACAAAATACTGGCATACTTGTTCATACCTATATTTTAATTTGCTATAAAACAGGCCTAAAAATAAATTTTAAAGTAACCACTGCAGATACTTTAATATAAACTTTAGAAGTTTGTTTATATTTGTGGTATTTCAGGTACAAAACAATAGAAAAATAAAATATTTGATAATAGAGACATATAGAAATACTTTGAGACTGTATATAAGTTGTCCTTTATTTATAAATAAAAAGTGTCCCTTTTGATAAGAAAACACAATCTGCTCTTATCATTACGTCTTAGTTTCTTAAGGCTTTCTTCCTTTATTATATTTGGTTATTAGAGTGTATTTACTGCTTAACTAGTGTTGGTGTTACAATTATGACATCAAGTCATAAATTGCACTTCTTTAGCTCTTAGCTATTCTTTTCTCTTTTATACTAGAGCTTTAGGACTTCCTACTAAATTAGCTCCATATTGATCTGACACAGTTTACCCGGCAGTATGATATAATTATCTTAACAATCTTTAAGATATTATCTACAGTACTAACTGTAATAATTATTGGGCTGATTACTTAATCGTTTATATATATTTTATACTCACAAGATGATAGCTACTATGCTATCCTAATATGAATATGTTCTTATATGTGATAAATCCAACATCCGAGTGTCTGGATCACCACAATATTTATTTAAAAATTCATTACATACTTAAAACTTTATAAAATAAAAGTTAATCGTTTTTGAAAGGCATGTATTTTCTGAGCAATACTTTTATTTCTATAAACCACTCCATATCTTTCTTTAATTGGTTATCAAAAAAAAAATTTAATCCTGGAATAAAATCTCTTCATTGAAGAAGATTACTACATGGGTATACAAAATCTGAAAAAAAACAGGTAGTTTAGCAAGTCTGAAACGTTTTATAAAATATGCAACACCAAAACATTTAAATTGTAATATACATGTCGACGCACACACACAAATGTGTGTTTTTGTAAATAGCATACACAGGACATTTGGCCATATCGGCGCATGGACAACTTGTTATATCTCGCCGAGCTCCTAAACTTGGAAACACAAGCTGTATTGGAGAAGTTGGAATATTGTCATGAATACTTTAAAAAAAGGAAAACAGTATAGTTGTGATTGAAACCCACAGATGTACTGCCTGCAGTAGTAAAGGACTACTGCAAGCAGATACATGCAACTACATAAAACATTCTTCTTCTTCTATTTGTCTATCTATCTTTCCATAGTTCTTGGATATAAATAGCTTTACATCTATATATCTAAAATCAATCAAAATTTGCAGCATCATGTGATATACAAATTTGCCTATAAAACATCTATTCACATCTAAAATCTAGCACTTTTACTGTAATGTGCAAGAAGTCACACAATAAGATAATAAGATAGAATAAAATATGAAGATAAAGATAATGTTTATTTGTGATAATATTTGTGATATTTATATTAATTTATAAGATGCCGCAGTATCCTAGATTCTAGCTAAGTCCTTTTGCTGCGGTATCTTGCTGAGCAATGGTTGACTTCTTCTTCTTGGCCTTACTCACCCAACTACTGCAGTTGGAGTAGTTGTTCCTGATTGGGTAGGATTGGAACTGAGTGTCAATTCCAATCCGCTCCTGATATTACTATGTCACATGATATACCGAGATATTAACGCTTTGAATTTATTTTACAAACTATTGCCAAAAAACTTATACAACTATCAAACCAAACTCTAACTTTGAAAAAAAAACCAAAAAATAAAGTGCCATCTACTCAACGTTGTTGTGCTGCTTGCCATATGCTTGGACATAGCAGAAGTACTCATAAGCAATGTTTCATGAACCCAAAGAACATTTCTCTCCACATTCCTCAAAAGAGAACTAATGTAGATGAATATCCTGCAGAAAGTAGCCGAAGTAACTATTTATTTATACACTTATGCGTATTACTGCAAGTATTATATATATTTTTTAATAATAAATGTGTTTATAAAAAAATAGCTGCTGCCTTGAGAATAAGATGTGAGCCTGTCCAAGACCAAAATTTGGACATAGAAACATCGACTTCTATTTCAGTTTCTGAGTTGACTGAATTTTCACTTGCAAATGAGACTATTACTGAAGTTCTTGAAGCAGTCATGGAAGAAGAGATTGAGGAGACTTCATCCGATAAAGAAGTGACTGGAAGAGAAGAAGAAGTCGAGGAGATTTCAACTGTGGATAGAGGATCAATTTTACCTCATTGTTCTCACTGTAACAGAACTGATCATTGCCAAATTACAAGCAGATCTTGTCCAAACAATAACAGTAGCAGAGCAAGAGGATCTAGAAATCGAGGCAGAGGCTTGAATAATATTGTCTGACTTCCAGCTATTTCAGAACCAGCAGTTGATAACAGGGGAGATATAGATATTGAGTGTCAATTTTGTGGGGCAATGATGTGGGCACATGAAAAAAACAGTCGTTCTTCTTTAAGAAGCCCCACGTTCTCTATGTGTTGTAACAAAGGAAAGCATGTTCTCCCCCAAATTGAGCCAACACCTACAGGAATTGCTGAGCTTTTGAACTATAGAACACGTAATGGAAAGAAGTTTCTTGAAAACATTCGAAGCTATAATAGTACAATGAGCTTTACTTCTTTGGGAGCTAAAATTGATATCTCTGTTGGCAACAATATCAATGGGGCATACAACTTCCGGATTCACAAAACAATTTGTCATAGAATTGGATCTATTTTGCCAGTGACAGAATCTGATATCGCTCACCCAAAATTCGCTCAGATCTATATTTATGATAGTGCTGCTCAGATAGATCAAAGACAGTACCATTCCCCACAATTGGAGAGAAGTGTTTTGGAGAAGATTCAGTCCATTCTTATGGAAACAAATCCATTCGTACATCTCTTCAGAACAATGGATCAAATTTCTTGGGAAAAGAAACAATCTATAGATCTCATTTTGCGTTTAGTAGCTGAGGGGCCTTGGGATCAAAGACAGTACAATGCTCCACCTGCAAGTGAAATAGCAGTTCTTATTATGAATAATGAAGAGGGTACTTCAAGAGACATTGTGCTGCACACCAGAGCCAACTTCCAACAGAACATCAATGAGTACCACTGATCTTATGATGCTTTATACTATGTGCTACTCTTTCCATATGGTGAAGATGGTTGGACCATTGATGCCAGCTCGTTGTCAGGAGAGTATGTCACAGTAATGCAATGGTACTCAAACCGTTTGATATATTGACGCAACACACAGCACCTCCTCCATCTTTTTGGCTGTCTCTTTCAACAATATATTGCTGATATATATGCTCAAGTTGAGTACAATCGGCTGCACTTCATCACCAGCAATCAAAATCGTCTCCGTGTAGATCTTTATAGTGGAATTCAGGATGCTATTATCTATAACGATTGTAATCTTGCAAATCTTGGAAAGAGAGCTATTCTTCTATCTTCCTTTATTGGTAGCCCCTGGTATATGGCTCAACTTTATCAAGATTCAATGAGTATTGTGCGTCGTTTTGGCAAGCCTGATTTGTTCATAACTTTCACTTGCAATTCAAAGTGGCCAGAAATCACAAATTTCCTATTGGCTGGGCAAAAAGCTAATGACAGACCGGATCTTTGTTCTCGGGTTTTCAATATGAAGTTTAAAGAGCTCATGATTGATCTTACAAAAAAAATATTCTGGGGAAAGTTTTGGTCTTTATATATGTCATTGAATTCCAAAAGCGCGGACTTCCTCATGCCCACATTCTTTTGATTTTGCAACCACAAGATAAACCAAAAACAATAGAAGATTTTAACAGAATAGTTTTGGCTGAAATCCCAGATCCTGAAACTGAGCCATTGGCATATGAAACAGTAAAAAAATGCATGATGCATAGCCCATGCGGAAAGAAATATCCAAAAGCACTATGCATGAAGAATGGGATCTGTTCAAAGAATTATCCTAAAAAGCTTTGCAATGAGACTAGCAATGGTGGGAACGGATATCCTATTTATTAATGCAGTCGAAATGGAAGAGTTATTAGAAGAGGACCAAAGATCATGGATAATGGATGGGTTGTTCCACACAATAGATACATATGTGCAATATACAATGCTCATATAAATGTTGAGATTAGCACCTCTGTTTCTGCCGTAAAATACCTCTACAAATATGTATATAAAGGACATGACCGTGCAATGGCCCGTGTGCAGCCTACACTCACCAATTCTGCTCCACAACAACAACAAGAGCATGTAAACAAAGTTAATGAGTTTCTTGATACTCGGTATATCTCCGCTTCTGAAGCATGCTGGAGAATATTTTCTTTTAAGCTTCATCAAGAGTATCCCAGCCATCAACGACTTTCAATCCATCTGGAAAATGCCCAACCTGTATATTATAATCCATCTTCTAACCCAGAGGATGTTGCAAATTCCAGAAAAAACACTACTTTAATGGGATATTTTGACTATAATGCTACACACCCATCATCTGAAAAGTTCTTTACGTCGACTTTCCTTCTCTTTATATATGGAATACAAAAGAACGAAAATGGACAGCACGTAAGAGGTTTGATAAAGGAACGATTGGCAGAGTTTACACAGTGTCTCCGAGAGATATTGAAAAATATTCGTTACGATTACTGCTGCATAATGTTAAAGGGGCCAAAAGCTTTGAAGACATACGTACAGTAGAAGGATGTGTGTATGAAACAAACCAAGCTTCATGTTGTGCTCTGAGATTACTTTTGAATGATGATGAGTGGAGTAACTGTATGGAAGAGGCAGCAGCTCATCAGATCCTATTTTCTTTACGAAGACTATTTGCTATTCTTTTGATTTTCTGCGCAGTATCAGATTCTTTCTCTTTGTGGCTTGCTCATCGCGATTCTATGATTGAAGATTATCTGCATTTGGCAAGAGAAAGTAGTGGAATTCCTGTGTTAGTCCCCACACAAGATATGTTTGACAGATGTTTATGGGATATCGAAAGTCATCTATCTGCCAACTCTATGTCTCTCATGTTGTTCACTGGATTTGTTCTTCTACCAATGCCTGACATCCAGCACTTTAGCTCAAATGGGCAAGATGTTCAAGTCATCATACAAGAACAAGAAGATTTATGCAATCAAGCCCAGCTTTTGCCAGATCCAGATACACTGACATTCAATAATTCACAAAGACGTGTCTATACAACAGTATTAAGTGCAATTGAAGAAAACGTGGGAGCCTCAAGATTGTACTTTGCCGATGGTCCAGGTGGGACGGGAAAGACATTTGTCTTTAATGCCTTGCTTCAAATAACTCGCCAACAAGGAAAAATTGCTCTTGCAGTAGCAACAAGTGGAATTGCTGCATTGCTGCTAGACGGTGGGCATACAGCACATTCCAGGTTTAAGATTCCAGTACAAGTTGATCTTAACTCCTTATGCTCCATCAACGCAAACTCGCAAACGGCACAACTTATTAGAAGAACGGAATTGGTTATCTGGGACGAAGCTTCTATGATTAGTAAAGATGTTTTTAATACTGTAAGCAGATCCATGCAAGATATAATGAAGGCTGTCGATCCATTGCTTGAAAACATTTCATTTGGAGGGAAGTTGTTTGTCTTTGGAGGCGATTTTCGGCAGGTCCTTCCTATTATACCCAAGGCAACAAGAGCTCAGGTTGTAAGCCAATGTATCAAGAAAGCATCTGCATGGAGAAATGTAAAAACCTTGCGGCTTACAACAAACATGCGAATTGCCCAAGCAAATAATGAACAAGAAACATTAGAGCTTAGGGAATTTGAAGCATTTCTCTTGCAAGTTGGTAGTGGTTCTGCCCACACAACAGGCGGTGATGACACCATCCCAATTCCGCCCCATATGTTACTTTCTGGATGTAATTCTGCTGATCTGGCCAAAGCAGTTTTTCATGATCTCTCCTCTAATGCAGCCAACCCTCATTTTCTCATGGGCCGTGCTTTGCTTACTCCTAAGAATAAAGATGTCAATAAACTCAATGATATTCTTCTGAGCCAGTTTCCTGGAGAGGCACAAGAGTTTAAGAGTGTTAACCAGTGAATTGATGAAGATGGTCAGTTGACATATTCAGTTGAGCTACGAAATACCATTGATCCTGGATCCCTACTACCTCACTCACTGTCCTTAAAAAAAGGATGTCCTATCATGCTTCTTCACAATCTTGACCCAAAAAACGGCCTCTGTAATGGTACACGCCTGATTTGCAACTCTTTTGGAACATCTGTCATCAGAACAACAATTGTGACTGGATCCAATGCTGGGCAAGTATCTCTTATTCCAAGAATAAAGCTTAATCCATCTGGATCAAATGGTGAAATTGAATTCCAGCAGTTCTAATATCCAGTTCGTCTTGCATTTACAATGACAATAAACAAGTCACAAGGTCAAACTCTTGAGAGCGTTGGATTATATCTCCCTGCCCCAGTATTCTCCCATGGCCAGCTGTATATTGCTCTATCCCAGGTCAGAAAACCTTCTACAATCAAAATAATGCTTGATACACCAGCAAATTCCAACGAAACGGCAAATACTGTATTTACAGATAATGTTGTATTTAAGGAAGTCTTTGACATTTAGTAAAAAATTATATATAATATACACTATAAACTTATCTAACCAATTTTTTTTGAATAATAAAACATTTATAGATATCCTTTCTTTTCATATAATTCACTCAAATAAAATGTTCCTATTAATTGTGCTACACGGTACTTAGACTTCCAATAGGGAAGGGTTTTATATTAACTTCCGGTAGGCTCTGCCCCCCCCCCCCTCCCCCCCCCCCCCCCTCCCTGTCAGAGAGGGGAGTCCATGGGGCCCCCCCGAATATATCTTTAAAAAATTACAAAATTAACACTCCAAAAGTCCGCAGATATTAGTTTCTAAAATCCCTTCCAGTGTTCTACCAAAATATTCATTTTTTTTTAATTTTTATTTTTAATATTTTTTGTGTGTTGTAATTTCATACTGTTCTTTTTTGGCTGTAAAATTACACTACCATCCCTTTCTCTTGCTATGAAATTATAAAATTGCTTTTATTTTCTTTATGTTTTACACTTCTTTAATATAAATGTAAGTTGCACTAAAAAATATTAATATGAAAATTAATATAATATTGAATAAGATATAGATATTTTTAAAGTTTGTCTCTCTTTAAAATAAATAATTTACATATTAACAGTATTTTTTATATGATGTAAATATAAATGGAAAAGCAATTATTCACTTGATGTATTCAAAGCAAAAATATTTCAAGAGGAAAAAGCATAGGTTGTTATTTCATTTTTATTGCAGCAATATTTTTGTATAATTTCTTCCTTTCATATAAACGGCTATTTTATTTAAAAAAAATTACATGCTGTGAGAGGTGAGAATTCCTTTCACAGAATTTTGGTTGTAATATACAAGTTGTCATAAATCCAAATATAGAGTTTATATAAAAAATACTATGAAAAGAAAAGATGATATTTTAATAATGTACGCAGCATAAATCTTAGAAATTGACTAAGCAATATATAAATAATATTATGATAAAATGCGCAGTATATGTCTTGAAGAAAAACTTGGCAAAGTAGAAGCATGACATGGAGCAGTACTCTATCTATTTATAATTTATTTTTCACTATATAAAGACTATGATTAAAGAGTCTTAAAAACATATCTTTTTATTAATTTATACCATCACCATGTCTAATAATAAAACAAGAAACAATTATATTATCTGCACGTGCACTTGGTGCACAGTGTCTAATCCATCTGTAAAGCATCAAAGAAAGCAAAATGCAAAATGAAATTACAAACAATATAGTGCACCAGTTTTGGCAGCCAGTGCAATGAGTAAATAATATAATGAAAAAATGTTATCTTTGTAAATTTAATATAAATTATTCAATTAAATAGATATGTGAAATGAAAATGTTGATCGTATGGAAGTAGACTATAATTATGATGTTGATGTTGATTTCAATGTCCATAAAGAAGGTAAGAGAAAAAAAAACAAAGCAGAAAAAAAGTTGATGTCTAATAGTTTTCTATTATTATAGATTATGCTATTACCCTCAATCCATTAATTGATTATGAATATACTCAGTCAATTCACATACCTTTACTCTAAGAGGATGCGATTTTTTTCAGAAGATGCAGGCCCGTAATCATTTGTTATTGATAGCAATTATATTGAGGAGGGTAGAACAAGCTTTGGTTTTTAGAAAGACGAGACCTTTGAGGATCCTGCATTGAGCATGGTGAGAATGCAAGGTATGAATTTTTATAAACCTTAAAACTCTTGCATTATAACACTTGATTTTATATCTAACCAAAATGTTTGTATTTGTAGTTTATCTGAATCCTTTGAACAATATGCCTGTCTTTATCCATTATATGGCTATCTTCATTGTTATCTTTTATTTGGTGTTTCTGGTGAATAATAGCAGATCGATCCTCATAAAATTTTGCAATATTCTTCTCTTTCTTTTTGATCTTACTGCTGTTCTTCCCTTGACAATTGACAGCTTGAAACACATCACAGGTTTCAACACAGCAACAGACTGAATTACGGTGTATATTACATGCTCAAAATGTCATACAATTTATTCTCCAAACACAAGCACAAAAAATTGCACATTTAAATTATTCACTTATTCAAATGTCTGCAACATCGCCCTCTTTAAATCTATAAGTAGCAATCGTTCTTCTCCAGTGATAGTGTATCTGTACAGTTCTCTCAAACACGCTTTACAATAAAATTTTCTAACATCAAATTTTAAATACCAAATCAATCTTTGGAGAAATCGTCAGGCACTTGCAGAAACAAAAATAGACATATATGTCAGCGCAATGTGGGACGACATCAAAGACAATAATAGCAAACGATTTGTTGATGACACTCAATCTCTAATGTTAACTCTAAACATCAATTCGTTCCAATCTTTTAATGGACGAACTCATTCCACTGGTGTCATTTATCCATTAATTAACAACCTCTTTTGAAGTGAACGTCTAAAGTTAGAAAACACTATTCTTGTTGATACAATGCCAAGACCAAAAGAAGCAAGCACTAACAGTATGAATAATTACTTGAAGCTACTTCTTGATGAATTGCTCAAACTATACAATGGTGTGAAATTGTCTGATAATAGCAATGAAAATATAACTATCTGTGCTGTATTAATGTGTGTTGCATATGATATTTCTGCTGCAAGAAAGACATATGGATTTACTGAACATGCAAGCATATGTGCATGCCACAAGTGCCACTGTTAGATTACTATGATACCCAAGACCACCCAGGTAGACTTCTCTGGATTTGAATATTCCACACGGACCAAACGTACAAAGGCCGGAAATCTGGATTATGCCAATAAGTGGAAGGAAGCCAAAAATGCAGCTGAGCGTACCCGACTTGAAAGAAGCAATGGCACTTGATTGTCTCAACTTCATTTGCTCACGTACTTTTATTCTATATGGTGTATAATCATTGACCATATGCACAATATCTTTCTTAGAATGACCAAGCGCATGGTGCAGATTTAAAAAGAGCTAGAGTACTTTGACAACCAGTCTCTGTTGGCCATACAAGATCTGGTAAATGGTGTTGTTGTTCTACCTGACTACAGTGAAAGGAAAAAAGTGTTTCAATGTTTTTCAATTTCCGCATCTCTACAGAAATATATATACTTTTCATATGCAAAAAAATGCATTTAAAACGCCCTTTAACATTTTTAAACTACTAAACCATAAAGATAAAAGTCATTTGTTTTATAACATATGAAAAAAAAATATTTTTAGTATTTTGTGCAGTGGCTCTTGGCATTGATCACAGCCTGGCATCTTGTGGGCATGCTGGAAACTAATTGCTGTAAATATTTTTTTGGGATTGTGCGCCATTCTCTTTCTACATCATGACGCAAATAATGAACATTATATAGTTTATATCTGTTCGTTCTAATTCTATACTTCAGATAAGCCCAGATATGCTTAATAGGGTTGAGGTCTGGACTTTGTGGTGGCCAGCTACCCAAAAGGTGAAGACGATTCTTCTTTTTCCAAGCCTTGCTCATTGCACTTGTATGGCAGCTGGCATTGTCCTCTTGTAGTTTAAATCTCCTCCAGATGTTTTTTTCTTTAAAAGTCTTCAAAGAAGGAAGATATGACTTTTCCAAGATATTAATATACTTCTTGGAATCAATATTCCCCTTTACAACATTTAAATCTCCGACGCTCTTGCAAAAGAAGCACCCCCAGACCATAATGAAGCCACCTTCAAACTTCACTGTTGGTGAGACAAAGTCAGGCTGCAGACCCATCTTGTTATGCCTGAGAACTCTCCGGCGTTTATCACTACTATGGAGTCGGAATTTCAACTCATCAGACCAGATAATAACATTCCAATCTGTCAATTTCCAATGCAAATGTTCTTTTGCCCATTGCAATCGCTTTTTCTGATTGATTTCAGAAATCTTTGACTTTGAGATCATTTTACAAGAGTGTATTCCAACACCATGCAAAAAGATGCGCAGAGTTTTTACTGACCCAGGTGTACTTAATCTTTTGCAAATGGTGGTCATTGGAGTTGTTACGTCATGATTAATCTCATGGAGGATCTCTCTCTTGTCTCTCTCATTCAGCTTTTTTAGTCTACCAGATCATACACCAGCTTTGTACGAGTTGCTTTCTTTGTAGGCTTTGAGAACGCAATGAACTTCGTATTTGCTTACACTAACTTTTCTGGCAATGTTAGCTTGACTAGTGCCATTCTTAATGCTCTCATACACAATTATTGCACGAGTTGTATCATCGGTTTGTTTGTGTCCTTTAGTTCAAAGTTTTTTGGACTTTTCTACGCATTTAAGTTGTTGCATTTTTATTTAGAATTGTAATGTAAAAGTGAAAGAAAGAACCTGTTACTCAAAGAATGTAATCAGGTTTTAAAAAGCGTTGCAATACTTTCCCCCCCTCACTGTATGTGCATATCAACAAAAAGATAGTCAAAGGCTTTTTTTTTCTAGAGGGCTGACAGGTTGAAATCGTGATGTTTTATTTACTCTTCTTTTGTCCTGAAGCGCATCCTTCCAGTGAAGCATCTTTTTGACTGAATGTTTTTTGTGAATGCTTGCAATTTCCTCACAAAACCATCTGTTACTGCTGATGGCATATATAGTGCCCACGCCCATCTTTAATCGTTCTGTAAAGGGTTTGAAAAGCTGTATAAATAATTCTCTATCACTCCAAACATGCATTTACATCTTTATCTGGGTGAGTGTATTAACAATTTCGGCCCAATTTATGCTTTTGGGTTGTTCAGCTTTGAAATATATAATACATTGTTTAAGAATCTTGACATAAATCAAAAGCGTGGATTCGAAATAACTATGATGAAACGATTCTTGAAAAAGATATACGCTGGCAACTACATTCAATCTTTTGAAGAGAAATTTTCTGCAAGCACAGTTAATTTTCTATATAGTATCACTCGCAGTCAAGTTATTTTAGAGCAACCTTCTTCAATGAGCAGTTCGTTTATATTGTTCACATTTATCAAATACTCTATGAATTCTTAAAAATCAGTTATGGGATGTAAACCTTTGCCATCAGATATGCTGTCATTCAAGGTTAAGCTGCAAATTGTCATCTGCAAATAGCATTACAAGTGTTTATATCAATATTGTAAGGACATGTACAACAGTCACAATATTTTTTGTCATTACACAGATTGCTGTGCTGGTCAGATTTTTGTTTATAATTATATTATAAAAGTCAAGCAGATATCCCTTGTTAATCAACAGTATTTTTCTGGTTCTCACTTTCAAGTCCTTTTTGATGAAAAGAAAAGTAAAGACATTTCTACATTTTTTGGCCATATTTTATATCTCTTTCAATATAGATTAAACATTGGTAACAATAATGTTATTTGTAGTTTTGTCTATGTTGAATTATATTAGACTTATCAGAAAACATTCAATCACTGAAAAATGAAAAATTAAATTGTGACAAGAACCTTCTGGTTTGCTAACTTATGAGAACATCATTTTTGTTCATCAATTGTACTCACCAGTTGCTGTAGCAAAATATAGGTCTACAATAACAAGTGATTTAAAATGACTAGTAATATCTCTACCTAAAAAAATAAATATTAACATATAAAAATAAAGATTACTTTAAATTCTGTACTTTATTTTTTCAAAGAATTTTTTTATTGCAAAAGGGCTTTTTTATTAGTCTTAATTCTTTGCCCAAGAAGACAATTTTTTTATCTTTGCATTGGTAAGCTTATTTTCCCTTTTTCTTAAGATCTTTCTGTCAAAAGAGCGTGTATGGCTACCTTTTGGAATATTCTAATAATTAGTATCAAATTCTTCTATGAAATTGTCACCCTATGTATTCACATAAGTAACATGTATTATAACTAAAAAAATTGTATCATTTCACTTCTCCAACTTGAACAAAATTGCCCAAAGACTCGATTAGTAGAAGATGAGTTGTCTGCAACTTCGCAATCAGTCTCCAGGTCAGACATGTAGTCAGCATGAAGAAAGTCAGCAAGACCCTCCCCATATATTTTGACAAAGTATTCCCAATTTGTTTCTAAGGCTAAAGCTCTTTTGCTTCGTGTCTGTATAGTTTTATCTTTTATTATTATTAGCTATGTGATAAGGAATATGCACTTATTACCTGAACACAACTTTGGGAAAAACACTCAACTTGGTTTGCTTCTGCAGTTTGATCTTCAGTCTTCTTTCCTTTCAACTTTTGGCTTGAAATATAATGCAAAACCTTTCTTCTGATATTGCCTGGCGTAATGAGTTTGCTCTCAGCCTGATTACAAAGGTAATCTACAACAGACTTGATAATACGCCTGTTTGTCTCAAAATATGCACTTTGCATTTTATCATATTTCTCATACAACTGTTCTTTTCGTATGTTCAATTACAATATTTGCTAAAAGAATTTAATAATGAGTAATTTATTTGACTATAAGACTAACTTGACTACTTACATCTAAGACTGGATAGCGTTGAGGTGAGAGAGCTTGTTCAACAGCCTTGCTTGCTTCTGCTTCTATATCTTCAGAAGTAATAGTTTTTTTGCTACGATGCAAAAATGTATTGACTTCTGAGATTTTTTTTGTAAACCTCATCAATTGTATAGCCATCACCCAATGAAGCCTGAACTGTGTTCAAGCAACATCTTTTTGACGATCAATCTGCATCAGAATTATCAATCCTCTGGTATCTTTTTCATATCAAAGCAAAGATCTTGCCATCATTTCTTGATGAGTGATCATAATGGTTATGATAAAAAAAATATGTTATTGTAGAAAAAGAAACATCATATTATTATATTTTCACAGCAGAATCAATGTTGCTGCCATTATCATTATCAGTAGTAGTGATTGTAGTTGTGGTAGCTCTGGCAGCCTTGTTAGATTTTTTAGAAATGGATTTTTTTGGCATGATAAACAATAAAGTGTAGTAGCTTTTAAACCATATTTTTTATTTATACCAAGTTTGATTTGAGTTTGATGTTTGACTTTTCTTTTTTTGGAGAACACAAGAAGAGCTTTATGTTTTTATTTAACTGAATAAAAATAAATATGTTTTATATCATAATAGTAATATATTTATGCTTTGATATAGAGTAGTTATTGATTTTAATATTCTTATATGTCTGCTAATACTACTGATACTTTTAATATGCTTGTTGTATCCCGCATAATTGTAGATTTAAATTAAAAGTACAGATACTCAATATATACGTGCATTGAGTTACCAACAACTAGTAACAATACTAAAAGATATACCTTCCCTTATACAAGGAAATTCTGTAAAGACCATACTAAGACAAATACTAAGACTTTAGTTGATAACACTAAAAACATAACAACTAAATCATAGAAGATAATGGTAGAGAAACAGACATTACATGATATCATCATATCATCACCGAGCTAAATATAATATCTATATAAACGCACAATACTAATAGCAATAGAACAGCATCTTCTTTCTGATCCTTTCACTTCTTCTAATAAAACAAAGTCTTACCATAATCTCGTCTGCACTTGTTTTATTTTATATCTTATTTTTACCTCATATATAACAATGCTAATCTTTGTTAAATAGATTGAACACAATAAGCTGTTATTTGTTACTATAAAAGCCAAAGCTTATTTTTACTCTATTTTAGTAAATATATACATATAAAAAAATTAATTTTTTTTAAAATTTATATTTAATGGAATAACTGCACCCATTATTTTCTTTTAGTTTACTTTCTTCTTTTTGGCATTCTATATGAAGTTTATGGAGTTAGAAAGCCTAAGAAAAAGAGGGAAATCCGTAACAATGTAAACAATGATTTTGTAACAATTTTGTATGCGGAGTTTGTTACAATTTTAAGCAATGAAAGTTTGTAAGAATTTTACTAGTAAAAATGTAAACAATTTAACCACGTGACGCTTTTGATTCTTCTTTATAGCTTACTAAGCATATTATACTTTCTTCTTACTCTTACTTTTACTCTTATATTATATTATTATAAAGTACAAAATGTCTAGACACACTGTTACCCCTGAAGAAAGGGCTGAAAGAAGACAAAGATGCATGAGAGAATACTAGTGTAATCGTCAGCAATTATTGCAAGTGGAAACATCAGAAACAGAAACACAACAATGGGATTCAATGTCTCAAGCAGAGTATATACGAGAGTATTAGCGGAATCGCCTGCAAACTGCAGAAATGGAAGTGATAGCAACAGTAGAAGCAGAGAATATTAATACTTCTTGTGCAGAATATATGCAAGAATATCAACGCAGGCGCCAACAAATAACTGAAATAGAAGTAGTTGAGCCAGTAGAAGCAGAGAATATTAGTAATTCTCATGCAGAGTATATGCAGGAGTATCGACACAGATGCCAACTTACAGCTGAAATAGAAGTAGTTCAGGCAGAAGTAGTGAGAGCACAAGTAATTCAAGCAGAAGTAGTGGAAACAGAAGTAGTGGAGACAGAAGCAGCAGAGACAGAAGAGGAGAACCATAATTCTTGAGCAGAATATACACCCGGCTTAGGTTGAAATTGACTTACTGTTATAAATGAGTATTGACTACTGCTGTAATTGAGAATAAGTCTGAAAGAAATAATATAAGGCCTCAGCTATTTCAGTCAAAGGTGTCTACCGATTACTTTATTATTTAACACACAGGTTTAGCATGCATGATAGTGATTATATTTCATATGATAATATTACCATAATATGGGATACATCAGTAGATTATTATAAGCATAATTATAACTCATAAATACATTTACTTTCGATGTTAATACTTCATTGGGACTACACACATTTATATAATTAATTATACATTAATTATCCCAAGATCACGTTGCTCTGATTAAGGCTCAGATAGGATCGATTACCTGACCCCAGTCATATAATTTTCCCAATCCAAAACAATATAAATAGCAGTAGTAGTTCAGTGTAGGAACCTGACCAAACTTTGATACCAAATCTTTCTCAATAAACAAAGCCTACACAAGTTCTCACGAATCTTCGTTCCTAATCTCAAATCTTCAATTCTTCCTCTTAAAAACTTCTTCAACTTCAACCACCACAACACTTACTTCCAACTCCGCCATGACTTCTTTCTATGCAAGAAGACCATCCTCTATTTTCTTTTTATTTTAATTCTGTAATCTCTCTAATAAAACAAATCACAATGCCAAAGAACAATAAAGCTAAAACTATCAGCTCATATTATAAGACAACAGATTTCGAAAAAGGAATGATTATTGGAAGATATAAAGAAGGACGTAGCTCCTATGAGATTTTAGATGCAGAAGACATACCTCAATCAACTGTTTATTATATAATTAAAAAATATGAGACAAAGAAGACATGCGCTGAGAAGGAGCATCCTGGGGCCTCTAAGAAGCTATCATCATGAACAATTTGTTATTTGAAGTTTATCACAAAAAAAAATAGATGCGACACATTAGCTACCATCACGCGCAGTGTTAAAGAGATGCATGACATCTCAATCAGTCAAGCAACAGTACGCAAATATCTGCACGATATGGACCTTCGCTCTTGTTTTGCTGTAGCCAAGCCTTACCTAGATGAAGCACATAAGAAGGCACGCTTGCAGTGGGTTAGAGAGCAAAAAAATTGGAATGATGAATGGACATCAGTAATCTGGAGTGATGAGTCCAGATTCACCCTTTTTCAGAAAGGTGGACAGCAATATGTTTGGCGCCAACTGCATGAGAAGTATGACGATGACTGTCTGGTACCAGCAGTGCAAGGGTTGGGTGGTTCAGTATTAGTTTGGGGATGTATTTGGGCAGGAGGTGTTGGCCCACTAGTTATATTAGATGACTACATGACAAAAGAAATGTATGTCCAGACACTGAGGGACAACTATCTCCCATTTCTTGCTGCCCTTCCTGACAAGGACACCACCACCTACCTTTTCCAAGAAGACAATGCCAAGCCACATAAGAGCAAGTTGGCGGAACAGTGGAAAAAAAAATGATGTGGCTATCTTATTATGGCCTGCAAAAAGTCCAGATCTCAATCCAATTGAGAATATGTGGAGCTACCTTGATAACAAGGTTAGAGATAGAAGACCCCAGCCTACCACGCTAAAAGAACTGGACGTTGCTTTGTTGGAGGAGTGGGCAGAAATCACAGCAAGTACTTGTGTGAAGTTTTGCCTGAGCATTAAAGATCGTATGATATTAGTTAGGAAGAAGCATGGAGGAGCTATTAACTATTAAACCTCCATCAATTTTTAATATAAATAAGCAACACATATTACAAAATCTTCCATTCATTTTTTGTCTTTAAGGATCATGTCTTTGAGAACTTATTTAACCTTGAAAAACAGAGGTGTACTTCTTTGATTTTAGCGGAGTTGGAAGTAAGTCAATTTCACCCTAAGCCAGGTGTATGTGCAAGTATATGCGGGAGTATCGATGCAGACACAGACTTACAGCTGAAATAGAAGCAGTTCAGGCAGAAGTAGTGAGAGCACAAGTAATTCAAGCAGAAGTAGTGGGAACAGAAGTAGTGAAGACAGAAGTGGCAGAGACAGAAGAGGAGAACTATAATTCTCAAGCAGAATATATGCACGAGTATAGGCATAGTAGACAAAGTAGAGCTGTTGAAGAGAATAAACGAGTAGTAAGGCGTAGACTGAATGACGTTGGCACAAATAATTGGAGTAGTATACAAAGAAAGTATGAATCAACAATCAGAGAGGGTCCTACATGTGTATGCGGATGTTGTGGAGGCCTTTTCTTTCAAAAAGATATATCTTAAGTAAAAAAGAACCACTCTTACAGGCAATTGGGGTTGTTCAGAAGATATTGTTGAGAAAAGCTTTTGGGCAATTGACAATCATAAGATACCAAGCACTTTCGTTGGTGAAGATATTATAGACAATATTCCACTATGTCCTACCTGTAAAACATAACTAAAAAAAAAACTTCCAACTCTTGCTCTCTCTAATGGTCTCCAATTTCCTGATCATGTCGTTTGTCTAGACGACCTGACAAGATTAGAAGAAAGACTTGTCGCATCTCGACACGTTTTCCAGTCTATATGGACACACAAAGGACTAACTGAGCAGTATAGAAGTAAAGGCGGTATTATCAACGTACCTGTTAATGTTCATACAACGGTTTCATTACTTCCTCGTAATCTTGACGACTCAAATACAATTTACTTGAGTTTAGCTCGTAGGATGTGTTATATCAAAAACTATATCAGAGGCAATACAAGTCCTGCTAAAGCTTGGAGAGCAGCACTATTTCTACAGTCAACAACACTCTATCAATAGTATAATATCTTCTTGAGTGATAATTGGGTACAAGAGGCTGTCAATAATGGTACTGAAAACGTAGAAGAGGTTGATAGTGTTGAAGACTTTGAAGGAAATGAAAAAGTAGTACCAAACACGAATCAATAAACTCTAGTGAGCAGGAAACAGCTATAGTTTCAGATCACGAAGCTCTCAGACTTTTGCCTGGAGATGGAGGAATCGCTTTGTCTATTTTGACTGATAAAAACACCAACTTTTTGGCTTTTCCTCAAATCTTCTGTGGCCAGCAATTATCTACTGATACTCTGACTTACTCTTTCCTGACAAAGTCTATTGCAAGGAGATTCGATTGTAGAGCAGCACAAAGAGTAGAGTATATACTGTATATGGACAGAAAAAATCAAATAATCAGAATGTACAATAACCTAAATACAGTTCTCCGGAAGAAAACAAAACTCTTCAACAATGTACCATATGTTGCATCCTACTTCTTAAATAATGACAGTATTGGTGGATTACTCAGTAAAGTCCAGGCTTATAAGACATTTAGTGGTATCCGTTCTACTGCAGAATATTGGAAAAATGAGAAGAAAAATCTTTTGGCAATGATTAGACAATTTGGTATCCCAACCATTTTTGTAACTCTATCTGCAGCAGATGCAAGTTGGCCTGGGCTATTATGCATTTTAAAACTTGTAACTGATGGAGTTACTATTACAGAAGAACAGGCAGAGCAAATGACATATGATGAAAAAGCCAAACTGATTCAGCAAGACCCAATAACATGTGCACAATACTTTGACTATTGATTTAGAAAGCTGAAGAAAACATGGAAAGCACCATATAGGCCTTTTGGAAATCATTCCATTAATGAATATTACCTCCGAATAGAATTCCAGCATAGAGGCTCGCCTCATGTTCATATGCTTGTATGGCTTAAGGGTGCTCCCAAGTACGAACCTGACCAACGAACAGAGGAATATGTTCATGAGAATATGAAAAGAAAAATCTGTGAATTTGTGGATAGTATGATTACTTGTAAGAGATAATAGGGTGAAATATCGCATCATCAACAGGAATATTGCTGTAACGAGGACACCTGGAAAGAATTGTTGAAAAGGCAATATAATATGCACACATCTACTTGCCAAAGAAAAAGAAACAATATTACAATTTGCAGATTTAATATTCCATTTTATCCTATGGACAGAACTTGGATATTATGCCCAATAACTGAAAACGAAGATCTATCAGAAACTACAATTACCAAATTAAAGCAAAATATGACTCGCATCAAAGAATATCTCCAAGAACATTATGAAGCTCTTCAAACGTCAGCCATGAGTTTTGATGATTTCTTAATAGCTGTTGATATTACATCTATTGATGAATACATACTGTCTATTTGCAATACTCTTAAAATAAACAAAATCATGATAAAATGACAACCGAACGAAGTCATGATAAATAATTATAACAAAAAATTTTTCAGTATGTTCAGATCAAATATGGATATTCAATTCATTCTCGATCCATATGCTTGCTGCGCATATGTAGTTGACTATATAAACAAGGCTGATAGAGGCTTAAGTAAGATGCTTGAAGAAATTTACAATAAGCACAAAGATGACAGTAGCTCAACACCTTTTAATATGATGAGGTCACTTGCTGTGACCTATTACAATGCTAGTGAGATATCTGCTCAAGAACAGCATACAACTTACTACGAATTCGAATGTCAGAAGCGAGCAGAGCTACAGTATTTATACCAACAAGCAGACCAGAAAACCAACTTCACATATTAAAGAAGCAATCCAAACTTGTAGCAATGAATTCCAATTCTACCAGCTGCTTTGAACCAGGATTAATTAAGCATTACATTTGTAGGCCCAAAGATTTGGAAAATTTGACCTTGGCACAGTTTGCTGCTTATTTTGAGTTTTTAAAAAAGCAACCATAAAGAAATATTGCAACTAAATTATATCGATCACAATGACATAAATGATGATACTTATTATGAGTCCATAGAATACTAAGAAGACCATATTCAACAGAATAATAACAAAAATATGCTTTATGGAGAGCCAGACCAAGTTTATTGTCTTTTGGAAAACCAAGGCTACATTAGAAAAAGAACTAAGCCATGTGTCCTACGTTACTACAAGTTTAATATTAATCAAGATGCTGACAAGTACTTTTGTTGCTTATTGATGCTTTTCAAAAGTTAGAGAAATGAAGAAGAAGACCTTTTAAGTATCAACTGCGAGGAAGTTTTTCTAGAGAATTCTGAGACTATTCTGCTAGCAAAAAAAAGAATTTTGTCAGGTTGATGATGATGTATTAGAAGGTTATTTTGAAATGGCTTCACTTGAACGTAGTAACATGGATACAGAAAGAGAAGATGAACCCATTGGAAACACAGATACCCTGGCCCCACCTATTGCTGAAAACGATTTCAGACGTTACACGCTAGATATTGATGACAATGAAGAAGGAGAGTATCACAGAACAACAGATTTAACAATCGAATTAAATCCAAATAGAGCAACACAGAACAATCGATTAACCTACCTTGAAAAAATCAATATTCCAAAGTGGTTAAATAATACTGAATATCAAGAGCTTTTATTAATGCTGAACTTGCAGCAGAGACAATACTTGTACCATGTTACTGATCATATTTGTAACAGCAACAGCTCTATATCTGATCAACAACATATACTGTTTTATCATTTTGTAATGGGAGGAGCCGGAACTGGAAAAAGTCTATTGATAAAAGTACTTTATAAAAGTCTTGTCCATAAGTTTGACAAAACAAGAGAAAGAGATATGAGCACACCATCTGTACTTCTTTGTGCTCCAACGGGAAAGGCTGCTTTCAACATATCTGCTCAAACTTTGCACAATGCCTTCCAGCTTCCTGTCACACAACGTAGAAGAGAAGGTCTTTCCTCACTCTCATCTGACGTCTCCCATTCAATGGGTGTTGCACTTGCAGACCTGAAAGTGGTTATTATTGACAAAATTTGTATGGTAGAAGAGACACTATTTGGATGGGTTGATCGAAGACTTCGAGATATTTTTGATAGATCAGTTCGTTTTGGTGGAAAATCAGTTATTGTATTTGGTGACTTCCTACAACTTCCACCAGTTGGGGACACACCACTTTACAGCACCAGCCATGCAAGAGATACAAATCCATTTGTATCCTTATTTGGGTACAAGATCTGAGATTTGTTTAAAGTTTATAAATTAATGGAGATAATGTGACAAAGAGACGATATTCCATTTGCAGTAGCCTTAAACAACATGGTAATTGAGTCAATGACTGAAGGCAATATTCATATCCTCTAAAGTCAAGTGGCTTTAATAACTCCTGAAGATGCAATGAAAATTAGTACTGGCAGAAGAACATTACCTTCAGACCTTGTAGCTCAAGAAAACAATTTATCTGAAAGCAGTAACCAAAAGCCAATATATCTGTTTAACACAAATGCATACATTCAGCAAACAAACCAACACATACTTACCAGCTTGAATACTGAAGGTGCAATCTCCAAATCCTTTGACCGAGTAACTGAGCATTGCAGGGATAGCACTGCTATTCAAAGACTCATACATTCTGTCAATGATCATGCAAAGCAATCCGATGTTCAGGGTCTGATAAAAACGCTTTTGCTAAAAATAAGTGGAAAGTATATGATGACTGCAAACCTAAAGACAGCAGATGGACTTGTCAATGGTGCAACTGGAATCTTGGAGAGGACTGATTATGGCCAAAATATTGTACCAGACAGCACTGCCTCTGAAACATCTACTTTTACAGTTTTAAGAAAGCCATTAAGATTGTGGATTAGGTTTGATGATGAAAGAAGTGGGAAACAGTTGAGAAGACAGCAACAAAGAATTCGATGTAGTCTTGGGATTTCAGACGATCTGACAATAATAAAACCACACTATAACATAATTCGCAGAAATATCAAAAGTCAGATACATCTAACCCGTACACAATTCCCAATTGTTCCAGCTGAAGCACTCACTGTACACAAGTCACAGAGAGGCACATATAAATCAGTTGTTGTATTTGACCATGGATCACACAGAATGTCTCGATCACTCCTATATGTTGCATGTTCTAGAGCTACTTCTGCAGAAGGTTTAAAGTTAATATGCAAAGGTAACAGATTTGTTCCGCCCAGACCAATAGCAGAAGATCGAAACAATCAATTGAAAAATGAGCTCATTAGACAGCAGACAATACAGTTGGGATTATCATTTAGCCAACTACAAAAGCAAGAAACAAGTGATTATATACAGCTAATTTCGCATAATGTGCAAAGCTTGAGGGCACATATAAACCAGATAACCAGCAATCAAGTATACTTAACATCTGATATTATTCTTTGCAATGAAACTTGAACACTGCCTAATAATGAAGAATATGATATTTCAAACTTCACCATGATATCTCGCATAGATAGCCATTCAACCAATGCATGAGTTTCTGGTTATTGCTGCTATATTCGTAGCTCTCTTTTACCTAGTACAAACAACTCAAACAACAATTTTTTGGTTTATACAACCAGTTTCAGAGTGTTCATTGATGAAGCAGGTGGATCAACAAGTATATCATTATTTATATTAAGCAGCAACTTATATTGCAGCATATATGTATTCCCACTATGCCAACTAAATACCTTGATGGAAGCACTAGAATTTGTTGTTAGTCATACGTATATGCATATAACCATTGCTGGTGACTTTAATGTTGATTTCACAAAAGAATCGATCAAGAAAACGACATTACTTCAATTTATGAATAACAGAAATATGACTACTCACTGCAAAAGGAGGGCCAATTCAGTATACTAAATCTTGACCAAATACTGTCTGAATGAATAAAATTCAGCATGAATTCGATCGGAATTTATGATGCCAATTTTTTAAAATTCGTGAGCTAAATGAATACAATTAGTATACTGAATTTTAGGAACGCAAAAAGAAAAAGTGTGATATACTTTTATGTGATATATTTTGGTCGTGAAAATATAGACGCACTTTTATCAGACCGCAGATATTTCATTTTATATTGGTTTTGGGGTTTTTTTTAAATACAGCACATAACATTCAACATCTTTTTATTACTATATATGGGTTGTTAAAGAAGAGCTTTGGTCAAGATTTGGTCAAGATTTAGTCAAGATTTAGAGGTTTATGGGTCATTTTAAAGGTTTTTATTGGTTTGAAAAAATCTTCTTATTGTTTCTAGCTGTTTCTATTCGTCTACATCACTAATCGTCTTCCGTTGCAATTGGGTAGAAACATCACACTCGATGCCGTCATTTATTTTAGTGGATACTATGTTATTCCTTTCCAACATCCATTGGTCCACCCCTGGTGCAATTGACCCCTACTGTATTCCATTGCTTGCTGAGGCACGCCTTCTTAGCCTGTTTGTTTACTTTTATAAAAAATAATTATAGGGTGGATTAGAAAGAATATTCTAGGTATATTTATTTGAGAGCGACAGATTATTTAAAAAATATGAATGTACTTACAATAAAGTTAAACACGAGAACAGATGGATGTCTTTAACATAAAGATAGATATATCAACGTTTTAGTTAAATGTCTCAATTATAGTAATATTGTCTATAAAAATAATAACTTTTGTTAATACGATGCAAAGTAAATAAGACTATGGTTTGCTTACCAGACAGTTCAGAAAACAGAAGAGTTGACAAACACAAAATACAATGACATTGTCTATAAAATATAATCTTTTATTAGAATGAAATAAAGAGTATCAGACTATTTTTTGCTTACCAATTATTCAATACAATAGAAGATGCAGCATGCGGGAAATGGAGATATTATCTATAAAATAATTTCTTTTCATTAAAATTACATACAAAGAAGTAGAATGATTATTTACTTACTTGTCTATCTGTAGAGAATAAGAGTCGGTGTATAATCAAAAAAGAGGACCGAGATAAAGACCAGTGACTATAGAGTGTATGGTATACATAAGAAAAATAATAAATACAAGTTGTATCTTGAAGGTGCACGTTAATATTTATACAACATACCATTTTGTAAACCCTCCCAAGGTATATGTCTTTGTTAACGGGCCAGAAAAATCTAAGCAGAATAATTAATACATAAATCGTGAATAAATATTCAAGTATATTTTTATTACCTTTTTATCATTATTTTTGAGGCAGTTAAAAAGGACTTGGTGGTTTAAAGCATAGTGTATCATGCTAGAATAAAAACAACAAGATGATTAGGTCTTGAAACTTTGATGTGAGTTGATGCTTACCATGTTAGACATTAAGAAAGAAGTAAAGAAGAAGAAAGAAAAAATTAAAAAAAAAATGGGGGAAATTCAAAATTATAATTTTATGACCGTTGACCCTGAGAAACTGATAGAATCAATGGAGCAAATTGAAAGTCATTCAACCCATCCCGATTGAGACAAGACATTACGTACTAAACCATAATCTCTCACATCTTTGTAATGGATGTAAGCTATTACAAATGCCTTTCCAAGTCGGCTTATAAAGAAAAGTATAATATAGAGAGCAAAATGCTATAAAGAGCATCATCAGAAAAATAATCTTTTGGTGCCTTACTTTCCACCTTTACGTATGTTTTGATTTATTTTATTATTTTAAAGAAACCCGACTCTAATTATTAAAGTATTCACATTGTTTCCATTTCTTTCATTAGCCTTAAATATCTCAATTCATGTCTTCTAATACGCAGCAATCCAAAAAAACGAAAAAGACGACTACAAAAAAGTCTGTTCAACAAACCGCTGGGACAGCAGCAAGCACAAGACAACGGGAAATTCTTCCCAGCTTGACAGTTAGCGCAGAGCTAGATGGTACTGTCCTGTCCACTTTGTCCACCATGAGCACCCGACTGAATGAATCTCATTCACTTCTGGAGAAGGTCTACCACAACATGGGAGCAACCAATGGCCAGAATAACAATTCGAACCATAGTCCCATCGGTCAGGCTCTTACTACAGGAGAATATATAAAGTACCGCCTTCCAACGGTTTCGGTAGGATATATACTAGTAATAGAATATTGCAAAGTTACTTACATTATATTTTGCAGAGATTGATCCGTTCTCAAACACGAGCAGTTCTGGCAACAATGCCATTGACAGTCAATGAGGGCGCCTTCTCAACATCCAACCGTCCCATTGCTGATGTAGTGCAGAGCTACACACATCAGCAAGCTGAAGTAAAGTCTGTTTCGTCTGCAGTTGTGGAAGAGAAAACCCGAAGACATATTTTGTATATGCTTCAAAGGGCAAAAGCTTTGCCAGAAAAGATAGCTCGACAAAATCGGATTTCTCGATGCCGGTCAAGAAAGAGAAACGTAAGTATAGTCAACAGTTTTTGTGTAAACTATTTTAACTTTTTTTTCAGATTCTTGCAGACTACAAGGCAATTCACTTAGCTGACAAGGCAAACCTTGAGTCTACGTTTGGTGAGACTGTCGTTGACCTTCTGGACTATGACATGTTGTCTGATATTGAGTCAGATGAGGAGAAAAATAAAACTAGATATACTCCTAGAAATAGACATCCCTTGGTAAGGCTCTCATGATAAAAGTTATTTTTTTAATACTTCTAACTCAAAAGTATTTATATTATAATGCAGGTGGATGAATACTTTACTGTTTTGAAGGAACAGAGACTTGCTAACAAGGGATCAGATGTCATTGGCAATTCTGTCTATCTAGTTATTTTGAGAAACACCAAGTTATCAAATGAGAAAAAGGCACTTGTTGCTGCTTGGATTCACACATGCCAACAATAAATTGTTATTTTGTTTACAAAGTGAATATAGTACTTTAATAATTTTTATTGATTGTGTTGAATGATGTGGGGTGAAGTGGTAAAATATAATCAGGCGGTATTGTCAAGATGAGAAGCAATTAATATATAAATAAAAGGAGAAAGAAAGAGACAAAATCAAAAATCAAAATAATAAATTATTATTTTATTTTATTTTATTTTATTTTAAAGCCAATTAATAAAAGAAATATATATACAAAGCAATTATTTAATTATATAACCCTGATTGTTTTATCCTCGTTTTTTTTTATTGGAAATTATAATACCGATATTAGCAAGAATATGTAATAAAGGCAAAGAAAATGGTAAATGTCGGGTATTAAATATACAAGTTTTTTTGTCTTTTATATTATTGATAGAAGCAAGAGAAATAAATAATGGTTTTTACTATTTGTTAATAGTAAAAAAAAACTGGTAATATAATTTACTATTGCTCTTTTAAATACTTAATAAAGAAGTAATGTTAAAACTAAATAAGAATACAGATATAAATAAAGCTAAACCTTTTTACAGTCAAAAAAACTTGTATTATAATTATTTATACTGGTAACCTAAATAGTTGTTATTTATTTTTTTATGTGACTACTTTTCTAGGCAGTGGAATAACCAGGTGCTTTTGCGTCCCACTCTGCATTTTATGCGTAGTCAACGCAAAGCATAAATGCAGACGATGCACTGGAACAATGCACGAAGCATCTTCTTCCATAAATCCCTTGTCCCACAACTGCAGACCTTGATCAGCTAATGGCTGATGACTACTTGAATGGTAGGCGGGAAACCATTTAATGAATGCGAACGTTGACACTCTTTTGACTCCACCGATCTTGATGGTATGAGTAAATAAATACTCTATTTGACCAGGGAATTCAGATACATCGTCATTTGTTCTCTCAAGAAACAATACCCTCACAAAAGACCCGCGCTTCTTCTTTTCACCACTGCAGTACTCTTGCCCCAGCAATGAAATCTTCTTCACCTTTTGAATCCGATTGTTCACAAATACATCCTCACCAATTGGGATTCTCCCTACCACACAGAAGGAAACACTTGTACTCCGGTAAGCCTTGACATAGAATTCAAATAACCACTGATAGTGATATTCCTTCATCATAGTCAAAGGCTGCAACTTGATTGGCAATGTGGTCGGGGGCAAGGCCTCACTTCCGGTGACATTGTACCATGGATTTGTAGCAGCTTGCTGGAACATTGCTAAGCTAAATGGCAACGCAGGAGGGTGGCCAGCATCCAAATTCAAGGGAGAAGAGCTGTCGGAATTTGATTTTACTTGGGCAACCCCCTCAAGGAACTCTATCAGTGGTGATGAAAGATTGGTAGAATACGCTCGAAGAAAGCTACCAATGAATGCTTTCTCCAGGAAAACTCTCATGAAGGTGACCTCAAGACCATTGCGACAGTTCGTCTTGATGTTCTTCAACTTGCCGTTGTATCTCTTGAAGCTATACAGCCAGAATGCGTATACCGGACCAAAATTAAGCATTGACTCATGCAAGTGCATATGCAAGTGCATATTTGGCGTGATGCTGCTCTCTCCATAAAGAGTCTCACACTCTTTTCCGAATTCTCCAAGGAGCTGGTGTGCGCTGTCAATTTCTGAATATGTGACTGAAGGACCGGTCAACTTTCGGCATGCTTTTACAAAGAGAGTCCAGTTTTTGTAGTCGTCTTCAGGCAAAGCGTCTTTTATTACCACCAACGAATAAATCAGACACCACGATCGCCACTCGTCTGCCTTCATATACGGGAAACCAGATTCGATCTTTGTTGATAAAACGGCATACCCAGGAGGAACAAGAATACCATCGGCAAGACGTTGCATACGGACGAGAACAGCAGTTGGGAGATACCTCAGGTCTTTCCAAACACTGATCATACGCTTTGCTGTCCCAAGAAACAAATTGTGCATGGGATCAACAATCGTGCATCGGACGGGATCAAAGTAGTGTAGGCGATGCAACTCAGAAAAACGGGTGCCATGCTGCTTCTCCAAAACAGCTCTCTCTGCATCAGATTCTGCGCAGAACCACATCTCAGCTTCGGTTGCATTTTCCTCTTTTGTTCGGGAGACCCAGTTCTCATGATCGAATCCAGAATAATTGATCTTACTTGTTCCAGCAACAACAGTGAAATGACGCTTGCATATGTGACAGGCGTTTGTACTTGCAAATCCTGTAAATCCAGCAGTCTTTCTTGCAGCAGGTATGTCGCAAGCAACACACATAAGAGCAGCGCGGATACTAGTACCATTGGGGAACTCTGGAGTTTTCATAGTTATGCTGCCGTATAACTCTACCAGCTCGTCTACCAGAGGTTCCAAGAAGTTGTTCATCTGGTCGATCTTTGCTTTCTTTGGACCAGGCATGACACCGACAAGGATAATGTTTTCCAGCTTCATTCTTTCTTCCCTAGGCAGGTTGTTCATTGACAGGTACAAGGCCCCACTTGCATGTGTACGACCCTCGAACGGTTGAAACCAATCCACATTCAATGTCAACATCAAAGAATGGTCGTGATTCACAAAAGGCTCGTCATCTTCATCAAGGAGCTCAGACCACATTGCACTATCACAGACGTCCAACAAGGTACTGTTTACGGTTTCCCTTGATCTCCATTGAACGATTTGATGCTCGAACCCAGGTTTGGCGAAATGCTGTGCCAATGCATTCTTGAGCGAGTTGTATGGAAAAACCATGAGAGGGACGGCGCGATCAGCTTTGGTGTCAGAGAAAAGAGGATTTCCGCAGTATGTTGGTGGTGTGGTTGTGTATTTTTCGAATGTGCAATTTGGTTGGCGATTGCCTGGTAGGTAAATTGCAAAGCACTTGTTGCAGACGGTGTATTTGACAATGCTTTTTGTCATGAAATTAAAGTCAGTCATAGTCTTTAATACATCAATGGTGAGTGGGAGATCGGTATCCTTATCAAAGGCAACAAGAAGATGGCAGAAGAATTTCAACATAGCAGTTCTACCTGCTTGAACCAAGTAAAACGCCTGAAAGATAACGCCAAATAGAGCCATGAATTGGCTTGTTTGAGACATTTCATGAATTTTCAAAGAAGCAACTACAAAGGCAAGTATTTCTGTTAATTATTTGTAATACAATTTATGTATATTTCTTTTTTAAATGTATGCATACTGGAAGCAACCATGTCTTCAAAATCTTCAACACCAGCAACCTCAACTTTGCTCTCATCTTCAGACTCATTGCTTGAATCAGGATCGTCATTGTCAGAAGCCAATGATGTTGTCTCAACATCAGACTCTTCGAATTGAAAAATCTGGTCTTCTCTCAAAAAAGGTACACTCTGTACGGTAGTTTCGGCTGATACAATAGAATAATTGTCTTCATCTATAGTAAAACCAGACTATTAGCTATCTAAATTATGATTTATTAAAAAGAAATTTTATACTCACAATCAATCGATGTTTCAGATACATCTACCCTCTCAACGTCTGTCTCTTCTTTGATAACTTCTGTATTAACTGATAATTAACAAAAAAAATATTAGATTACAATTTATCCAGTAATGCGCATACTACTCAAATGTCATTTACCTCGATTTTTTGGGCCAATGTCTAATAACTTATCAGCATTATTATGACACTTAAAGGTCTGTGCATTTTGCAAAATTCCACTAATTGCATTTTTGGTACATGATGAACATGTACACATAACAGTGTAGATTTTAGTTGTAGAATTCATAACAGTAAGAATAATATTAATAATAATAAAATAATAAAGAGGTGTATACTATATTTTATTTTCATCTTTTATATGTCTCTTATTTTTGTCATTAATAATGAGTTGATATATCTTGTTCACTATGTCATTGACTACATTGAGCTTACCGTCCCTATTAGTAAGAATTACAAATGGATTTTGATGCAGCGATCTTTTCTTAAAAAAAGTGTGCCTGATTATTAATGGGGCTTCAATTTAATAATCACTGATATAATGGCGTAGTTTTTCTCTTTCGCGTTTTTTTAACATGACATCAATTCTCGCTCATTTTGGCAAGTGGCCTTTTTTGGATTTTCTTTTTCTTGTATTTTTTATGACATCAATTCTTGCTCTTTTTTTCAATTTTTTTTGATATACTTTCTTATTAAAAATAAGTCATATATCATACATTATTATATTCTAATAAAATTCGGTATTTTTTGCGATGCAATAAAAATATTATTGAGTCTAAATTAGGTGCATCTGTAACAACAAGTTTTTCCTTCCAGAAAAATAATTAAATACTACATTTAACATTTAATATTTTATTTTTATTTTTTATTTTTCTGCCAAGTCAATCGAAACATATATTTTTTAAGACAATTGTGCGATTTATTGCCTAATTAATAAATATTTGTGTTTGTATCTGTGTTTATTTAATATAATCAGAAAAAATTGCGAATTCCCATCTCAAGAAAAAAATATATTGAAAAACGATGGTGTTTGAAATATTTTTCCAAATTTTGCCAAAATTCAAAAAATAAAATTCGACCGAATCCACCCTCCTTTTGCAGTGACTACACTTCCTAACACTATTCAATCAACAACAAGCCAGAATACTCTTATTGACAACATCTTTTCAACTATGCCAGTGCTGGATTCAGGAAGATATATATCTTTGACCAGTTACCATTCTCCTTTGTGGGCAAAATTTATGTAAATTATACTAATTATTTTATACTATTCTTTATGCTTTTATTTTTTACTTATTTACATAATTATATTTACATGCCCACTTCTCTATGTTTTCTGTTCTCTATGCTTTATGTTTTTTTATACAAATAAAACCAAAATAAATTCACACAAGAAAAAAGAGAAAACTGGATATATCGGAATATAGAACATCTTACTTGATATAGACTTTGGTCTAAGCTGAGATGGTTTTATTTGGTTGTATCTTTTTAGTTGCTTTAAATACTCTGATAAGTTTACTTTAAAGAACTAAATGTTTACTAACACTATAAATGAAATTGATGTGGCCGCTACCATTAGTAGCGGATATACCACTAATTTATTTTAATTAACCAATCAAATCAGTTCTAGGGTTTAGTACAAATATTAAAAAAAAGTGAAAAAGATAAAGTTGTATTTAAGAGCAAAATAACATAATAAAAACATTTTTTTTTACATATATATCCTATAGAGAGTATAACAACTTGATTTATTTATTTTTTATTTGAAATTGTAAAACCTTTTTTGGTCTCATTGTCAAGATTGTTATATTTTAACAAAACCACTAATCAATGTGACAGACCAACTATCTTTCCCACTAATTTACCAAAAGTACGAGATTTAAATTGATTTTTTTTTATATTTTATTTTGCTCAATTTTTACTTTGCATTTATTTTTCCCTTTCATTGTAAATGAACATCATCTTGAAGTTATTTTTTAAAATGATGGTAAATCTCTATAGTTACTTTATATATCTAATTTATATGACTTGCTCTCTATTTTATTTTTATCTGTTTTAATTTGCTAAAATAAAAGTATATTTTAATTATTAATAAAACAAAAAGTTTTTTATTGTTATTAGAGGAGATGTTATCTGGTGGAAAATTGAATATTTTTTCATTTTTAATGGAAACGGCGATTTAATTTCCAATAATTGTTATACATTTTTCTTGGTTGACACAATTTAGTGGAAAATGTATACGGAAAATTACGAATTTCATAATTTTCCACTAACATTTTCCATTAAATATTTTCTCAAAATCAAGCTTATTCTCTCACTCTCAAATTAAGGTATAGGGTAACCAAGAGTGTCTATTGTATATGTAATTAATTTATGCAATCTTTAAAGATCAAATTTATTAAAAAAAAAGATTGAAATTTATGAGGATTTATTTTTTTTATATTTGACACAGTATGATGTTCTCATCAATTGATAAGTTTCTACAACTGCTGCCAGAGTGCTTTGTTTTTTACTGGGTTTGTCCAATCTTTATTTTTTAGCAGCCACACTTTTTCTATTAGATAACACCTCTTCTATTTATAAAAATATCAAAGAGAAGAGATGCTCTCAGAATTGTTTTTTGATAAAGAATTCTTTATCGAAAAACAATAATGTTTGTTTTTTAGAAGATTAATATATGTCAAATATAGATGTCATGTAATGAATAATGCATTAGTATTATAGTCAGTACTATACTTCAAAGATATAAATTTATTTGAAAGCATATTAAAGGAATGCTTTTTCTTGTGACTTTATCTCTATCAGAAAGCATGTAATATTCGATTTTAAGCAAAGCAGTTGGTGCAAGATAGCATACTATGTACTATTTTGAGTAGAAATTACTGGTTTGTATAGCAAAGAAAACCCTGAAAATGATATATAACAGTAATATAAAAGCAATTCTCCAAAGATATTCTGATAGTAATAAAAATATACATCTATTTTTGGATATTAAATTTTTTTTATCCCTGCTAGAGAGCAGATATAAAAATTATGGTCTTTAAAAATATTATTCTTTTTTTGAAAAAAATATACTGTAAAATAGGAACATTATTGTTTTTCGATAAAAAATTCTTTATTAAAAAACAATTCCGAGAGCACCTAAGAAGATAAAAATATGTATAAAGGGTATTTACAGTTTAATATATCTCAATTTGCCAGCAGTACTTTTTATGTCTTCATTGAATATATAGTATGATGTGACTACTTTATACTTCATAGGGCATTCAACTGATTGAATCAAACCGACTTTATTCTGTATGTCATTCAGGCTAATAACAACAAGCCTTTGTGTGACCAAATTTGTGTCTATGATCACAATGGGTATATTGCTGTCATATTCAGCTGCTGAATGTTTCTTCATTACACTCACCAACACAAGAAACTGCCTGCAGCTCTCGTCATCAAAAGGGCAGTGAGCGAAATAGAACAATACAGAGTCAACGTACCAGCAGTTGTGACTAGAATTCACAATTAGTATTAGTTTTATTTACATCAAAATGTTTGACTCATAGATTGACTCACTTTTGATAAATGGCATTGAATCTCACATGGTGATTTCTATGATGAACTTCCGATCTCTTTTGCATGTACATCTCAGAGTCATATACATGGTTGTTGATCCAAGCACGCACAGCAAGTTTGACAGTTTCCAATGTATAACGCAAATCAATGGAAAAAGTGCATTTTGATTGGGTATAATATGCTGTTAACTCTTTTATGAGCGTGGGTATAGGAATGAATTGAGCCAATTAACTCAATTGGTCAAAAGGACTCCACAACTGGTGATTTTGGCTGTGTGGGGAAGTTCTGAGTAATCGGTGAGAGATGTTTGATTTGGCTTGATAGAATCCAGCTGCTGTTCTATGTTGAATGCACAATTTAAGTAACTATGTATTGTGAGCCTTTTGACCAAGTTTCCAGCATTTTTATCACAGAATACTCTACTTTCGATCAGTTTTAAGTATCTTCCAATCGTTCTTTCCATAGATCTAGTGTTATACACCCAGAGATTTCTAACCTTTCTTGTCATATATCCAATGTGTGTCAAGTAATGGTTTACTAGAGAAAATACACTTATAGATATGTTGTTTTTGGTGATCTCAGCTTGCAAAAACTGGTGCCAGATACTAAAGTGACTATAGATAAAGAAAGATAAGCATCAGCATTATTATTATTATTATTAAAAAAAAACTAGAGAATACATTAAAGTTTATTTTCCATTTCAAAAATTAACTTCTTATTCATGTTCTATTATAGTGAAATAGAACAACGTCTTATCAAAGCAAGACATGCTTTTTGAGTAGCAACTTTTGTGAAAAAAGATACAAGGAGAGTGGAGACTATATACAATAAAAAATTAATATAATCAATTGCCCTCGTGCCTTTGGTCTTAAGCATCAGATTATCTTAACTGCCTTGAAATAAAAACATGGATTTTTGATTGGGACAACTCGATACACTGACCAGCTGACAATACATCTTTTTTTTTGCAAGGAAAAGATATATCAATCTTTTAAGAGAAGAAATCTATCAGCAGTTCTTGGGTAGTAATTATTGGTAGATGTGATAGAATTTGTTAGTACTATTAACTTGTAAACAAGCTTTCCTATACCATGTCCAATTAAGTGCATCTCATCCAGATCATAGAATGAAAACCCAGTAAAGGTAGGTAGCTATGCAAAGATGTTGTGCTCTTGCACTGCAAAAGACAACCGATTTAAGTAGCTTAATTTTTGTTTAAATCCTCCAAAAATCGGTGGTTTATGTTCAATTATAGTTCGGTATTTGTTACAAAAATTGGTTCATTTAGTTAACCAAATGATGAGATTATAGATACTAAAATCAATAGATAAATTGAGAGTTATAATTCCCCCTTTTCTTGAAATGTTATAATTGTCTGTAATTCTGGTTATATATTCACCCATAACTTCAAACCGTACCTAAACCCTACTTGTTATAGAATTGGCTTTGAACTCTCTACCTCTTAAAAAATTTTATTTGCTTTAATTACATGATATTATTGGATAGACCTCACTAAAATCGACCTAGAATCAGTCTGAAATCTGACAGGAACCAGCATTCAAATGAATGATTGTAAAAAAAAACTTAAATAGATCTTGTTGACATCATCAAGAGATGACGCATTTGAAATAGAATCTCATGGAAAAAATGGTTTTTATTGATTTTTGAATGGTTGGAAAATATATTTAGCTATTTAATATAGACCACTAATACTTCTTTAAAAGTGTGTATCCGAATAGTACGACTTGTATACATGTTATACTTTCATTTATTGGACGGCTTGAATACATTGGATGACCTAACTTATACTATACTTCTCTACCTTATCGGTTTCATGTATTCGGCACGTTTTTTGGTTTTACACTTCTTTAACTGAAAATGAAATCCTTGGTATTTTCTTGGAGAATACGTTTGTTTGGAACTACATTAGCTTAGAGCAAAAAAAGATACCGAAGTATTAATACAGGTTTCTTTATGAAATAAAATGAAATAACATACTTACTAGATCATTTATGGGGGTTCATAACAAATCTCGCGATAGAATAAAAATCCGTTTGATTGATATTTTCTTTTAAATAAAAAGCAAGAAATAAAATAAACAACTTTATTAATATGTACGCTTTGATTGTAAAGACACTTGAATTACTTACATATTATAGACACGCGTTTGCAAAAGGGGGCAAACCAGTATGACTTGAAAAAAAGGCGTGACATATTTATCTGAGAAGAAGAATTGATAAGTTACATTATTTAAGTTGAGTTATATATATATTACCTTTTCATAGACTGAAAATACCAGAAAGTATATAGTGTCAAGAGCAAAATATCTTTTATTACAAAATGGATAGAAGCCCTATCATTTTAAAAATAAAAAATATTTAGTCAGCAAGGTGTATCATTTTAGTTAGGAGATTGTTTATTACCTGTACTGTTTTGAATGCTTGTTGAGTGTATTGTTTATCTAATATATATTAAGATGATTCTAAAAGCCAAAAGTATTAATAAAAGTTGAGATCTTAAGAGTAAGCTTACCAAGACATATAAAAAGAGACAAAATGAGAAGAGCAGGTTAAAGAAAGAGAAAATAAAAAAGAGGGGCGCGGTTATTCTATTAAATACGAATTCGGGGTTTTTTTTTTAAAAATAAATAAATCAAAAAATAATTTTTGTCTGTAACTTAGAATTGAAAGAAAACGCAGTTGCACTATGCCAGCAGCTAATACATATGAAAAACAGAGTATAGTATAAAATCATATTATTCAAATACTAATACATAATATAAGAATAAAACATGGATTGAAAATTAAATTAAAGAAACACATAAAATACTCACAACAAGAGTGGAAACATTCAAAGCTGTTCTTGTTACGTAATAGATCATGGTGTTCTCTGAGAAAGAATAAAACTTAAAGCCCAAATTAAACATAATATAAATAGCCCCTTTGGATTTAAAAAAAACAAGCTATTCTTATTATTCACAATGTCAAGAAATCTCAATAACAATTCAGTTAACAATGCTTTTGGTGAAGAACCTTCTGTGGGAAGGTAGATTAAAACCAGGCAGTCTTCAATTTTCTTATATTAATTTTATTTTCGTTTTTTATAAAAATCAAAAAAAAGCCCACCAAGAAATACCAATGATATAAGGACAATAATGTTGCAACACTCACAGGGAACAGTGAGCAATCAAAGACCACTAGCACCAAAGAGAGCTCGGTTGAATCTTGAAGGTGATTCGTCGGGTAGAACTCGTAACATCCATGATGTGTACGAGAAACTTGATATCATGAATGGTGTCTTAAACACTGTTTTGAAGAACACATCTTCTGAGAAAGCCGAAGCCACTGCTAGTAATGCAGTTGAGCAAGACATGTCGCCTGGACGTCAACCAACATTGGATGTAAGTAATCATAATATGTTTTTATGTAGATAGAATTTAATATACATTTATATTATAGCAATTGTTGCGTAATTATTTGAGTGAAGAGAAATTGTATGACCAATACAATACCAATGAAAATAAAAACAGTGAGGGAAACAGACTCGTTCTGAAGTCTGTTACCGATTACCTTCGTCGTCAAGAAGAGGGGAAAAAGGTGGACTTGCCAACTCTTCAAACCAAGATTGTGCGGCACATTGGCAACAGAAAGTTGCAAGAAAAAAAAACAGGAGAAAAGAAGCAGGAAGAGAATCGACGGGCCTGTCTTCGTCAGCAACGTGTAAAGGTAAAAAACACACGCACACAATATACTAGATGTGATATTAAATTAGAAATATTATATATTTATATATAGTCATGTGAAAGAAGACAATCTGCCTTGAAAGCCAATCGGGCACACTTTGTGAACAGCTTTGGAGAGAATGTTGACAGTATTCTCCATGCTGATTACATGTCAGACCTTGAGAGTGATGACGAAAGAGAAGAAGAGGAACAGGATTCGTCCTCAGAAAAGAGTTTTTTTTGGAGATTCCGCCCAAGCTGGAGAAGCGAAGAGGTATAGTACAAAAAACTATTTTTTTGGATGGTGTGTAATAATACTTACATTGACATATAGGGAGATAGGTTCGTTGATGAACTTGATGCGGATTATGAGGCAGCTCATGATAAGAAAAATAATACCCGTCCATTCGAGCATAAATTTAAAGGAATAAGAGATAAGCAGCTTAGTAAGACCAAGGCAAACAAGCTGCCATCATGGTCAAAGAAACAATAAGACAATAAATCAAACATTTTCTAATAAATTGATAAAAGAGTGCAAAGTGGTATTTTATTAATATTATTTAAGCTTCTATTTTTTGGGGTAAAGGGATTACTAAACGTTTAAATCACTAG